AAACAGGGTCCTTTCAGCTAGACACTCAAACAATCACAGAAAATTCTAATTGAAAGGTTTTTTTCGGGAGAAAAATCGAGATAAAAAAGTGTTGGGGTAATTAGGAAACGACTTGATGTGATTGACACCTCGGGACTAGATATGGGTATATACTCACCTTTTCAAGAGATTCCAATCTTTCCCTCATTCTTCAGTTGATGTTTCCTCAAGTCACCAGAGAAACGTTGAGAAGGTAAAATGATGGTTATCTGCAAAATTGAACATGTTTATCTACCCTTGGAATTGTTTTGTCGTATAATTATTAATGGAAAGAGGGTAAAAGTGATGGTTTTGGCGCTAAGGGCAGAGACTCAACGTAACGCATATGTTTCCGTCCGGAATGATCGGCGCCAGTGATAATATTTTAGTGAGGGGAGTTTTCTGATGGGTCACGAGAGGAAAGTTACTAGTTACTATTAGGAAAAAGGAATTTCGTATAGAAACATTTTGGAGCGAGAAATAGGGTTGATGGTGGATGATTAGATTGATTTGCAAAGGAAATCGTTATTGTTATCTTGTCTTGCTATTTGTTAAGTTGATAACATGAATTGCTAGGATCCAAAATCATTTTGAAACATTCTCATGGACGGTTGAAAAATTCGCTGTAAAACCTGTAAAACAGGGGTCCGGCACTGTCAAATTTGAGCTCAATTATCTCAATTTCTATGCAAGATATCGAAAATATGTCAACTCACAAAGCACTTCTGATATTATGGTAAACAATTTATTAATTGAGAACTTTTTCATATCTTAGACAGGAACAGAGAAAAACTGGCTCAAAGTTAAAAGTTAGGGACCTTTTATTACAGGTTCTACGGTATTAACTTTTTTGAGACTTCGAGGACTACATTCAGGATTATCGTAAAATCTAGATGCACTTTTCTTTAAAATCTGATACAGTTGGTTTTTGTACTATTCTCTCAATATCTGATCTTCAGAACTTTCAGAACATGAATCTGCCCTTATCTGGACGGTATGGTACATTCAGATACCGTGTATTCCAACCTATACGTGCACTTCAAGCTCAATGATCTTGGTTGCCATGAGAGATATCAAAAATCTGTTAACGGATAAAATATTGGTGATATTATGATAAACAATTTTTCAGTTGAAATTTTTTTTTTTGATGTCTTCTGAAAAAACCGAGATGTTTGAGCTTCAAGTTCATGTACATGGTGGGATTATATTGGATAGTGAAGATTCCTATTAAAAATACGGCAAGTGAAAATTCCTATAAAAATCCTTAAAAATCAAGTGGACTGTCAAAAATGAGTAACCTAACTTATGTGAAAAAAAGGTGGAGCTTCTTGTATGTGATAACAATATTCCGATTCTAAATTTTTCCTTTTTCAATATTTCAATATTCCAAAGTACTCAGAATTTCTAAGATTCCAGAAGAGATTCGAAAATCGTACAACTTCCATTTTGAAATTTCCAGTTCTTGAAAACTTCTTAAAATAAATCAGTTGAATCTCTGATAAAATCATTTTTATACCATTCACCACTAACTCTTACAAGAATTAGCAAAGAAAAGTGAGCTGAAAAAATTTTTTTCTATCAGAACACATTTTTTTCTGCTTTCCCATGATAACACTGGCCTGTATAGTTCAAAAATATAATATTTTGAGAGGTAGAATAGGAAAATTTTCAAAAAAATTTCAACCAATTTCGAAACTGACATCGAAGAAGTGATGGCAAATTTGATGTAATAAACTAGAGAACAATTTAGTAGGTCTTTCAGAAAAACCATTGTTCCCGTCGAGGATCTCTTGATGATAATCGAACTACAAAACTTGAACCAATAAAAATATCAAAAAAATTTCGACCACGGCAGGACTCGAACCTACAATTCCCTTTTAATCCGAAGTCTGGTGCCTTATCCATTAGGCCACGCGGCCACACTTTTCCTTCCTTTCTTCTAGTGAACTCCTTCAACCTACTTTCCTCCATATCCCCTAACCCAAATCCCATATCTACCTCAAATCGATTAATCTTACCTCGTGAAGAGAATCGCATCAATCAAGTCTCCATGTAAATCTTTGTCAACACTGAAATACAAGGATAGATCAGACTCCGCGATATAAATGGCTGTAGAAATGAGAAGAGAATTGAAATAGGAAGAGTCCATTCTTATGCTTTTCCTCTATCAGTGGCACTGTCTGTTGGCCGGCACCGACTGTTACTGTCCACCTCTCTATTTCCTTTGATGTTATCAAGTTATCAACTCTTTTCGCTGGAATGAAAAAATCACAATTTGTCGCCTCGTTTTCCCGCATTTCATATTTTTTCGCTAATTGTTTTTCTTGCCGAGTCAGCATATTGTTCAGTTTTCCCGCAAATTGGATCAGGTGTTCGATGTTATCAGTTGGGACAGCCGGTGTCGGGTGCTGATAAGAGGAACACCAGAACTCTAAAGTTTTCTTAGCTCTTATCAGTGTTTGAGCTCCCATGACTTCATTCGGCAAAACATGTGATAAGAAATTTCTAGTCGCAACTTGCTTTTGCAACTTGGCACATAATTTTCGTAAAGTTTCGAAAAACTCAGAAATGCGTTGAGAGAATCCGGGTTTGCAACTAATTTTGAAAATTTTCATGAACAAAGTTTTCCAGAAATTCGAAGTTTCGTTTTTTCAAAAATATTGAAGTTTAGTATAATCCTTGTTTTATTTTAACTAGTTAACTAAACTCTCAACAGGTCGTATTATTTTTAGTACCTCTATGCGGCGCGAGATCTTATCTCTGACGACACCAATCGGACACCAAGGGTGTGTCTCTAGCAGCATCCTTCTTTGATCCTTTGCAACATAGAAGAACATTAAACTACCTAATGAGACAGCGGACAGGTGCCCATAATTAGCCCGAAAATTGGCTTGGTAGATTCTTCCGGAAGATCCGAAGAAGATTTTTTTGGAACCTAGGAAGTTTGGGGATTTCGGAGAGTGAAATTGAGTTTGGTCGGAAAAGCAGGATTCTGTTGTCTTCTGATTCTAAAGCTAATTAATTAATGAATCCATTGAAGCTAGATAATTTAAAGAGTTTGATATGACAGTAAACATCTGGAAAATATGTGACAATTTTTACTGAAATATCTTTTGACTTTGAACCATTTTTTCTCGGTTCCTGTTAAAGATGTAAAGAAGTTGTCAACTGGTAAACTGTTCATCATAACATCACAAACATTTTATCAGTTGACACATTTTTGATACCCCTCAAAAGAGCCGAGATAATTGAGCTCAATCGTGACAGTGTGGGGGCCCGTCTATTACATCTTTTACCGTACATCAACTTCAATAACTGAAAAATGCAGGACTCTCTAATTTTTCAGTTTTGTCATTCTCATCCGGAAGTCTAACTCAACCTATTTCCATCAACTTTCCCATGATCACACTTTCGTGAGAAACATCGGAAAACATCAAAACACTTGTAAATAAGTGTCTATTGTGATAAGCATCTTTATGTTCCAAATATCTATATTTATGTTCTTCTGGGTCACGCTTCGATCCTTTGATCCTTCGCCAATGATTGTCAGTCCATAAAATTACGAAACACCTTTCTCTCTCTCTCTCTCTCTCCTTCTCTCTCTCTCTCTCTCTCTCTCTCTCTCTCTCTCTCTTCCAAGGAAAGAAACACTCGATTCGTTCCGAAAAGGGACCGCTCACGATCGTTAACCTCTGGTACTCTAGCTCGTTCCTGTGTTGCGTCATACCCCAAATGTTGACCACACGGAGAGAAATAATTGGAGACACGAAGAAAGGGATGCCCATGACAAGAAAGAACATAATGGATTATTCAAATGCGAGCGAGAGAGAGTGATTGGTGGATTGGAATGAGGATATCATAATATGTCACAAGTGTCCTTTGAGGATTCGCCGAACAAAGAAAAGGATTGCGCTAAGCCAGATATGCAATACATATTGCTAATCATACAGATTTCGATGGTCCTTTAGAAAAAGAGAAATGAGATAATGAAGTATAAGCGGATGTGGGAAATAAGGTCCAATTGGGATTTTTGAACAAGTGCCTTTTTGTTAGTTCATTTTATCTGAAAATTCCGAAGACAAGATCTTCAGTAAAGTATGCCATCTTGAAGGCAGAACTATATTCAATTTTTTATCGGGATGCAGAGACATCGGGAGCAAACTAGATTTTTAAAATTGTTAAACTTTCGAGACTCTGAAAAAAAGTAAGTTGACATTTTTCGTTGGAAGCAGTCGGAATAGTAACGAAACTGCCTATTTTGACAATTTACACAATAACTGAGTTTCCTATTCAAAATTTAGAACAAAATAATTTCAGACATTTTTGTCATTTTTAGGGTTTTTGGAATAAATCTTGACTAACTATGCTCCTGGGTATTGAACTGAAATTTATAGCTAATATTTTGACGTTCGTCTAGATTTTTTAAAAATTGTTGTTATGCTAATCTCAACCGTTGTTTGTAATTTAAATACAACTGAAATAAAGAACGTCATCTTGGAATTCAGAACTGTTTTTTAAATTTCGTGGGGGGAGTAAACTAGATTCTAAAAATTGTTGGAATTTCGAGGTTCTGAAATTGAAGGCGAGTAAATTAATTTGGAATTTTCATATTTTCCAAGATCCACAAAACCTACACATAGAGTCTCGAGAGACCACAGGATTATGATCCACACTTCGTATAAGAGAAATACAACATTCTCAGTTTCAAATGTGAAACCTCCACTGTTCATACTCAAAAAAAAAAACTTTTATGGACACACAGACTCTAAAAAACAGTGAAAGACACATATAGCACATTTGAATTAAGCCACTAGCAAAAAAATGAAAATTTCTCGAAAGTGAATCAAAATGAGGGGCAACCCGTAACAGTAATCGATTGGAGCACAGTATGTAAAAAGTACGATGAGGGACAATGTAAGAAAAAACAGGACAATTTTCAACGGGTAGTTTTAAAAAACTGGGGGAAGATGGATTTTAAAAAATTAAGCTCTTTCAGCATTTCTCGTCGTCTTCTCGACTGGTTCTTCTTTTGTTTTCTCCTCAACATCTTCTAATTCTTTAGGTGGCTCGTCTTTCTGTGGAATCGGACCAGCTTCGTGCATTTGGAGTGGTGCTACTTTCTTCTTCTGAGGTCCTGATGTTTTGGTGAATGGAAGAGCAGCGAAAACAACTGGGAGGACGACTAGACCGTGGAACATTCCAAGAAAGATTACAAGGACTACAACTTTAACGAAAACCTGAAAAAATGATATTAGTTAATTGAAAAACTTGTCTCCCTTACTTGAACCATGTAAGCGTGCACCAGAGCTAGTACAGAAATAGCCAACATTGTAGACGTTCCAGCTTGGAACATTGGCCAGGCGATTCCGGCAAGAGCATGACGGATTCTGGCTCTCTTCGATTGAAACTCTCCTTTGTAATAATGCCATGTAATGTGGGCAACGAAATCGACAGAAAACCCAATAGCCATGAGGAGAGTGGTCATCTAGAAATTATATTTTTAAATAAGTAAAATCGCAGTGGGGTTTACCGAAATAGGATCTAAATCGATATTCATGTAAACCAAGCATCCGAAAACTCCCAAATTAATAGACAAAACTGCAGCTGATGAGGTTACAATGGTGACTGGGGATGGTGTGAACAACGTCAAAATCATTATCATGCAGACCAATGCACAGATTACTGTAGACTCGGTAACAGGGACAATTGTCAAAAGTTGATCGGAGTACATGCTGAAGTCTTCGTAAATCGTGAGATTCAGGTGCTGATATTCTGAAGCCATCTGACGCCAGTTTTCAAGAAGTGCAAGACGGTCGGACCAAGAGACGGCGTCGTGGAATCCGGTAGAAAAAACAAACTTTTGAAGGCACGATGGCTTTTCCGAAAGGCAGTCTCTGAAAAAGGATAATTTGACGGATCTGTCTTAATTATTAGGAACTTACTGATGATTACCAAGATTCACGAAATGAGACCATCTTCTGTACTCCATCAATTTGAAGAATTCTGGCAGATAGCGATATTTGAACTCAATGGATCCATGCTCTTGTTCTCCAACATACGGAAGATACGGTAGCAGCCACATATGCGTACTCGCTGCTCCAACACTGTTATTCGCAGTTTCAAATCTTCTCAGAATTCTCATAATCTCTGGAACGGCATCTGGCTCACTCATATTTCCTGGATTATTGACAAACACTGCCACTTGACCACCTTCTTTGAATATCACATTCGTTTGAAGTCGTACGAGTGGAAGAAGCGGAGAATCATCCAAGAAAAGCTTCTCAGAACTTAAACCAACCGCGATTTGCATTACTCCACGCGCCATGAAGAACCAGTAGGTCAACATTAATGCTCCAATCAGGAACTTGCTCCATGCGGCCATAATAAAATCAACCCAAACATCCAAAATCTTGGCGAGAAGCTTATTGATAGCCTCTCCAATGGCTCCGTCCTTCTTTTTCTTGTTCTTTGGCTCCTCTTTGAGTGGTTCGTATTTCCACCAGAAGTAGGCATTCATTCTTCTTTCTTCACGATCACCTCCAAGAACCAAAACTGCTGAGAAGAAGAAGATTTGGTAAATGTAATCGTAGATAACAGCGGTGGAGATGAACACACAGAAGGTGTAGATTGCTGGTGTTGGCGTGAAAATTCCAATTCCGAAGGAGAGAAGATTCGTGAGTGAGGTGATCGAAATTGATGGTCCGGCATCGGCCAGAGTTTCAGCCATACGATCACGTACCGAGTGTCTGCAAAGGACATTGGTATGTTTAGATTGGTGTTTTAAATGCTCACTTGTGTGGTGTTCTGTGCCAAGCATGAATGAAAATGAACACATCATCTACTCCAATCGAGAGAATCAAGAATGGAACGACAGTAACAATAGGGAGGTATTCGAAACCCATCTAAAAATTTAGAATTTGATGAATAGAGTGGAGAATCAATAAATGGCTATCTTCACAATGTGTTAATCCTGACATCTTCTTCATGAACTTACCCAGAACAGGTGTCCAAACGAAGCGCACAACGAGAGCAACGGACAAATAACTCCAAGGAACGACTCAAACGGTTTCGATCTGACAGGATCTTTCTTCAGAGTTGTTATCATTGTAAAGGCCAAAATAATGAAGAACGTGATTCCCATGAGTGGCATTGCAAGGATTCCAGTGCGACGAACTTCCTCAGAAACGAGTCCCTCACTAGTGACGTAGACACGGATCAGTGGATCGTTTTCAGTTGAGAGGGAGTAATCGAAGAGTTTCTGGAAGTTAGAAGAGGGGAGTTGGCTGTTGTGACGTGTTAGGAGACTTGGGTTATGGACAAATGTGTGATTTTTATTACCAATATGGTTTATGAGAGGGAGAATCGAATGGGCTCACGCGATGGTTGCCTAGGACTCTGTTTCATTTCAGTCATTGAGTTTTCAGTTCCTATTGAACCTAGATTGAGAGCAAGTTATGTTCTATTCAAGCATACTTCACTACATATTATAGTTTAATTATTAATAGGGCCAATTGTCTCAAGTCCTTGAAAAAGTTGAAGATTAAAAAATACCGTATCTCCTGTAATAAAAGACTGCCCATACCGTCAACTTGGAGCTCAATTATCTGGCTTCCTGGGCAATGTATCAAAAATTTGTCTAATTAAACATTTTTATCTTAAAATAAATTTTTTGTCAGTTGACACACTTTTAATATCTTGCATATAAATTGAGATTATTGAGTTCAAACTTGACACTGTGGGGGCCCTTCTTATACACGTTTTTTTTGAAATTTTCAAAGGATTATTAATCAGATATTCTAGATGACCTTGCCCGGCCCAGACCTCAAAATACTTCCCATTTTTAAGAAACTTTTTTTTCCAATTTTCGAGCTTTGTTACATTTGATTCTTCCCAAAATAACCCAGTTTCAAATTTCTTACCTTCTCCCATTGCTTCATTATTTCATACATTGTCTCATTATTATAAATAGCATGGAAATTGATAGCCACAAGTTTCGACTCCTCGATAATGCTCGATCTGAAAAACAAAATTTTACTAGATTTCACCGAGAGCATCAACGTTGATTAGCATCCCCAAGAGCTGTGTTGAGCAATGTGATCACACTACAATAGCTAATCCCTTTCTGACATTGCCTTCTGACGCATTTCTTTAAATTCTCATATTTTCGAAAATTCGAAATAACCCACTTTCAATCTTTCAATATTCCAACTCCTCACCTATTATTGATTTGCACTTGGAAGATATTGTTAGCCAAATAGATCCTGTGACCAAACACATCCATACTTGGGTACGTCAATTTCACATGAGCCGTCTTCTTCTTTTGTTGATCACGGAACATTGTCAAGAAGATGTTGACAGCGTCAGAAGTCTCACATTGAGTTCCACAAAAATCTGAGTATGCGTATGATTGATTTCCATAGGTTCCTTTTAGTTTGTATTGTAGGAAGTCCTCAATTTCCAGCGCTTTGTCAATGTATCTGAAATTTTGAAGATCTTGTAAATGTGATTTTCTTCAACTTTCTTTATTCCTAGAACAACTTCCATTTCTTTTTTATATTTTCGATTCATTTCAGATAGATCGTGGCAATCAAAAATGTTCAACATTTTTGATTTGTCAATTTGCAGTCGAGAAGGGTGAGTAGCTTCTGTGAAATCGTGATGTTTCCGAAATATTTTTCACTAAAAACGCAGGGACAGTTTCAATTTTGAAAAACATATTTTGAAGGGGGCCCATCTATTACAGGTTTTACAGTAACTCTAATTCCACTTGTTCCTTGACCTGCCTGCACTCATAACGCTTATAATTCTTGTATATGCCTTCTAGAAACCCAGAAAGTATTCCAACTGCGCGAAAGGTGCTTCTTGTTTTTTTTCATTCTACAGCAACTTCAAAGTTTGTTATTAGGGGTTTGCAAAAGTAATGCGCGTCAAGTTTGGTGTTTTGTATCTCACCCAAAACAAACGGTTTGTGTTCAATTTTTTTTTGTTTTAAAAAGCGCGTTCTTGGGCTTCATTTTGTTATATTATATTGCTGTTTCAATTTGATTTCTATGAAAAAAACATTCTAGAAGATGTCCGACCAAAAATTTCGCCTTCGAGCATTTTTGTGGCACCAATCTAAGGAAGGAAAATCGGCTGCCGAAGCTCACCGCTCACTTTCTCCTGTATTTGGTGAAGAAGCTATATCCGAAAGTCAGTGTCGCCGCTGGTTTCAGCGCTTCAGGAGCGGAGATGAAAGATTGGAAGAAGAATCGCGCCCTGGTCGTCCAGAGCAGGTGAACAACGATGCCTTGAGAGCAGCAATTGAAGTGGATCCTTGCCAAACTACTCTCAGTCTCTCGGAGCAGTTCGACTGCGATTTTTCCACAATTTCCAGACATTTGCATGCAATCGGAAAGACAAACAGGACAATAATGGGAGAAAAAAACAGTGGCTGAGTCCTGGCGAGACCCCGAAACCGACTCCAAAACCGGACATCCACGGAAAGAAGGTGATGATATGTGTCTGGTGGAACACACGAGGTCTCGTGCATTTTGAACTTCTGAGACCTGGTCAAACGGTGAATGCGGACCTTTACAAAGATCAGCTGGACCGTGTGGACCAAGCTCTCAAACGCCAAAGCGTGGACACTTCGACAACACTCTTGCTCCATGACAACGACCACACAAAAATGCAAAAATCATTCAGCAGAAAACTCAGGAGTTGGGCTGGGAAGTGCTGCCTCATCCGCCATATAGTCCCGATTTGGCACCATCGGTTTATCACCTATTCCGATCCATGCGACATCATCTGGCCGAGAAAAAATTCGAAAGCGGTGAAGAAGTGCAAATTTGGGTGGCGGACTATTTCGAGTCACAGCCAGAGGAGTTCTTCAAGAAAGGCATCGCTGAATTGCGCACACGTTGGCAGCAAGTAGTGAACAATAATGGAGAATATCTTATTGATTGATGATCTCTTGTTTTGGTTTTACAATAAAAGGAAGTTGCATCAAAAACGCGCATTACTTTTGCAAACCCCTGATATTAAATCGAGTCAACTTTTCATCAGAAATTAATTTTGGAATTGACTTGCTTTCGGCGAATCCAATTAACTATGATTCTAACTTCCTCGTTTAGCTCTTTTTTGATCTAATTTCATAATTTGTTCTTCTGAATACCCGTTTTTTCTATTCCAGATATGACCCCGAAACGACGTTAACGGGACTTCGAGATGTGATGGTGACGTCACGAGCAAATGGAATAAAAAGCAGGTGATAAGAAGAGAGAAGAAGTGATTTGGAGGGCGAGTTAATAAACAACTAACCAAGTGATTAGCATAAGTGTTGAGACAACTCAACTCGACAAAATTTCAGAATTTTCAATATTTTCAGTTTGTCTAACTCGATTAGCAACATGTAGAGGAGACATACTGATTGAAAATTTTTTATTTCGGAGATAAAAGTTGAAATTTCGAAAATTAGGAAAGTTGTCGAAATTTCGGTTAAGTTAATCACTTTACATTTTACCTCGCTATCCTTCTAGGATGGACGCTGTCCCAAAAACTTGTTCTCATTACAAAAAAAAATGATTTACGACCACCCGAAATTTGCCGGTTTCTTAAAAAACCGTCTTATTGTCTCTTCTTCTTCATCTTTAAAACCACAAAAAAGAGGATTTCAGAGCAATGTGTCAACTGGACGAGCTCAAGGACTATGGAAATAACACAGTCCTTTTAATGATACTGTTTCTGTTCACTGCTCTTATGATACTTTCGATCTACATGAATGTTAGACTCTTGGTAATTCTGTGCCACAGATTCAAGAAAGAACAGAAATATAATTATTTCCCTATGTTAATGTTACTGAATTGCCTTTCAATGATCAACGAGCTGATTTTGTTTGCCGGAATATTTTTGCCATTTGTTGAGAGTAAGTTCGAAGGGATGTACAGGCACTGGCTAAAAACGGGCGACTGCAGGGGCGGCACCTGCTGATTACAAAATAAACTTAGCGCCAAAATGGATCCCAAAACCAATGTGAAAATTTAAGCTCTATTTTTCAGTAGAAAAATACCACAATATCAAGTACCCTTTCATCTACGCCCTAGTGACCCCATCAGAAATCTCTCTGGCCGATGTGCTTCTATGTGCTCAACGAATTTGGTTACATAAAAGTGACAAAAAGGACACAGTAGCATCTCGATGGTACTCCAAGCAGAAAAGTATTATTTTTAGTTTCAAATTTCAGGATTCCGTTGGTCATTTTCGTTTTTTTGTGCATCCCATTCGGTTACGTTTCATTTCATTCTCAAGTCTATACTGTTACCTATGAACAAGAGCGAAGCAATTTTCTATTTGCTTGTTTCTTGTAAGAATTATCTCTAACAAGATCAAATCTGAACAAAAAATATTTGAATTCAGACTGACAACATCACCAAGGGAGTATTCTCAACTTGCTCGTTTGTCGGCTACACGGGGATGTTTGTCTGGGTTAAGAAGAGAAAGATTGAACATGATACGATTATAAGACAAGCTCTCCCAATCGCTATTTTCCAATTGGTAAGTTTTAGAAAGGGTTTTGTCTCGGTCAATTGAATCAATAAAAACAAAATATGTTTTTCAGTTCGTAATCGGAGCACAAACTTTTCTGGAGTTCCAGCCAAATCCTAAACTCTCTCCTCATGCTCGTATATTTTTGGACATTTGTTTCTCAGCAGCGTGCAGTGAGTTTCTCCGCTCATTAAAACATTTTCTGAACATATTTTCAGCCGTCGCTGTTCCATTCTGCATTGTCATCGGGGATAGTGAAAAACGCGAAATTTTCTACAGTACACCATGCTGTTGTTATTGCTATTGCCAGCCCCGCCCACCACCACAGATAACCATTCAAAAAGAAGCCAACAGCAGAGCAGAAAGACAAAAAATGGAAGAAGAAGCAGCGATCAAGGAAAGAAGACAGGAAAAGGAAAAGAGAAGAAAGCAAAGAGAGATGGAAAATAATTTTCATAATTTGGATGATAGCTTAGAGAGTAATGAATCCGGTATTTAATTTTTTTACAATTTTTAATAAAAATGTTTCTTTAAAAAACGTACTTTGGTCTTAACAGACTTCCACCGTCGACTGCTTGCATAGCAACAACCACGTGGAATGGACTTCCGAGTTCTTGGAAAAATTCTCTGGCAACCCGATATTCGTACCGTGATGGAGAATTTGAAGCACTGGAGTTTCAGATTTTATAAAAACAAAATTTAATTGAAACTACCTGAAATGATCTCTGACATTATTGACCTCCTTAAACCGTACCACTCCAGCACACATCACCACTGCCCATATCGTTCTGAAAAATGTGCATTTTGGAGTATTCTTCGGTTTTCTGGTAATTCGAATTTTTAGATTGTATTGGTTCCAAGTTAAGCTGAAACTGCACTACTGCTGAAGTTAACCCCCTTGATGAAGAAATTTTGACCAAATTCAAGCCGATTGAAATGTTCATATTTTGGAATTAGTTCACATCCCTCTTCAGATTCCCCCGTTTTCAATTATTCAATCTCTTCATTGATTCATTCCCTTCATTCAAACCAAATCTTAGCTAGTTCAAGTTTTCGTTTTTCTCGTCGTCGCCGTCATTTTCTGCCACGGACATCCAGAGACCGCGAGAGAGAAAACCGGTTCCCCCTCTCCCATTCTATTCGAATGTTAGCCATTTTCCGAGAACCATACACTCATCCTCAATGGCTTATACATTCTTTATATTCGTCCAGAGAAGAGAGGAAAAAATGGATGGCATCATCTCAACCATCTGTCTAGACGTTCTTTTTTTCAAAATGGGTGAAAAGTGACTTACGTAATAAAAAGTGTCCATTTGGGATAGTCGGCGATTTTCAGTCCAAGCCAATAGAAGAAGTCGTGTGTTTGTTGTTCGACCCACTGGGATACCCGGTCAAAACATTGGAATATTGATGGCATCGCAGTAGGTTCAATAACCTGAAAATTGGAGTTGAAGGAACTTATCTAGAGAGATAAAGACATTTATATATTTTAAAAAATTATAAACGATTTTAGAAATCAAAAATAAGGACGGAATAAGGAATCAATAAAAAGGAAGATACACCCAAACTGTTTTGAGCCTTATTATATCGATTCCTTCGTTGAAGTATCAAAAGATCTTTTTAATGATGTCCTTGATTTTGTGGTCTCTAAACCAAAAAAAATGATGTATGAACGAAAATTGGTATGAGATTTGAATGAGCAATGCAAAAGTTTAAGAAAGCAGTAAATATATCAGTGAAACTGAAAAGTGGTTAACGGACAAAATGTTAATTATGATATCAAAATTGTTTTGCCAGTTGACCACTTTTCGATATTTTTTCACAAGAACCGAGATAAATTGACTCAAAGTTAAAAACTAGGGGTGCCGTTCCATTAATCATTTCAGACAAATCTTAAAAGCTGAATGAACTGCCAAAAATGAGATGCTAAACACAGGCACCACCTTCCATCTAAATGATTCCAAACCACAGACGAATATGGGATCAGAATCGGAAAGTGTGTGTATCAAACCAGATGTTGTTATCAAAAAGGGAGAAGACTTCATGATTGACCCAAAACACACCTAGCTAATTCCATTTATGCCATACACAACATTTAATGAATCGAAAGTCTGCCTGCGCTCTTCTTTTTCATATCCATACTTTCCCTGCCAATCACCTCGTTTTTTCGTCATTCCATCACTATTCACCCCGCCGCCAAGATTAAAAGATTTATGACGAGGAAACTTTATGAGAAGAAGAAGACGTGTCCTCTTCTTCTGACGGCGGTTTTGTGGATGCAAGAAGACCGGGTTGAAGGGCGCCGCGGCACAGATGAGGAAAGAGACCAACACATGGATATGGAGAAGATGTTGGAATAGAAGAAGAAGGAAAAAAGGAAAATGGCAACTGGATGGATATTGAAGGAAGAGTGAAGAAGGATTTGATGAGATAGAGATGGCAACAAAAAAGAGATAGGTTCGGATTGCATGGAAAAGAATTTCGAGAATTTTTTTGAAACAAAATAGGATAGGGATGGGCAAAAAGAAGGCTATAGACTAGTCTGGGGAGGATATCCGGTACAAGCTAAATACAAAAAATGATAATGAAGGCACAAAAAAAAATCATGAGGATCGATTGATAGTGATATCAGTGTCCAATCATACAGTAAAGCCATTTTTCTGTTAAGACTAGCCATGATCAGAAAATAGGGGAAGTCAGTAAAATCTGAATTTTTTCAAGCTGAGCCAGAAAAATTAGCTGCCGTAAAGTCTGTATTAGAAGGGCCCCCTCAAATAGAAGGGTCCTCCGAGAAGAGCTTGAAAAAATAAATAGGCCCTTTTCAAAATGTATTATTTAAAGTTGAAAATGTCGGTACGTTTTCAGTGAAGAACTCAGTTTTGGTAAAAATGATGGATTTTCATGGATTTCGAACAAGAATCCACCGAATTTTTAATTGAAAAATTTCGGAAAAATGGCTGGAAATATAGAAGGGTCGGTCATTCTAATACAGGTTTTACGGCAAATGCGGATTGCAATGAATATGTTTAGGAATAAAGGATTTATGTTTTGAACAATTTTATCCCATAAAAAAATTAAGCTTACGAAAGTCCAAGTAATTGTCAAACTATTGATTAGTAGCGTTAAACTTGTGGTAGAAAAGCCCCCTTACTTTCGACTTTGAACCAATTTTTCTCTCGGTTCTTGTTAAAGATACAAAAAAGTGGTACACGGATAAATTATTTATCATAATATCAGAATTTTTTTCTCAGCTGACTGAGTTTCAATATTTCTCACAGGGACAGAGATAATTGATCTCAAAGTTGACAATGTGGGGCCCTTCTATTACAGGTTTTACGATAATTGAGCTCAAACTTGGCAGTGTGGGAACCCTACTATCGAAATTTCCACAGTGATTTTAAAAGATCTGATAAACAGTCGAAAGGGATGCCAAACGTTTGTCTTTAGATCTGAAACTCAAGGCATATAAGTCAGAAATTCAATGCATTTGCTCAATAATTATACGGAAACTGATGGTCTTAAAGGATTCGGACATTTTTGAAACATCTGAAGGACTGATTCACACTTTCCATTATCCTTTTCATTTACATAAAAATCTAGGAGGAAAAAAACTTTCTGAAAAAAAAACGAAAAGATGTTCCACTGATCGTTTCAACAGAAAGTTTCAAAACGGTTAGGAAAATGCGAAGATTTATATGTCACACGAAGGATACGGAATAAGGAAGAAGCCTTCGAAAGGTAGCAAAAAGAGAATTGAAAAGCCGATTATGTGACGAGGAAAACTGTGGAGAAAGAGAGAAAGGAGACACCAGATGTCACAGTATCCGTCACGCTTCATTGACTCTCACGAGACTACTTTTTAATAGATTTTACTAGTTAAGTGACCGTGTCATGTTGTTGTTGTTTTGACAAGAATTGCAAATATATTGCTAATTAGCATCAGAGCGCTTCAGTAAACGAAAGATCAAGAATATGTATGGATTAGCCATCTCAATTAGATCCTTGATTCTGCTTCTGCCCATAGTTGTCTCTTGACCAGTTTTTTTCTCTGATTTCGGCTAAAAAAAGAAGAGGGAAAGGGCATGACGTGCTTAGAAAGTGAAAGTGTTGATACCTTCTGAACCCATCGAGAATGTCGGTTCTTTTTTTGATAGAATGACGACAATTGATCAGTGTGTTCTGGGGGAAAGTGAGAAAAAGGGATTAGAAATTGAGGGAATTTGATTGGAAAGTGAGGGAAAGATAGAGATCGGAAGGATAATACGGGAGGGATCGACTAATTAATTGTAGGGAATCGGAATGTAAGCCGAAATGAGATGCTAGGCTAAGGTTTAATGTTAGCATAGATCAAGAGATTGGTTAGATGCTCAAGTTACAGCATTCCTTAGAAAACAATGAATAGCAGGAGCAAGATAATTGTAAAAAATCGAGAAAAAAAGAAATTTGAAAGTTAGAAACAACAAGGATTACAGAGAAACGAAAAGAATATCCTGTACCGTAAAATCGATCCAATTTTTCTCGGTTCCTGGCAAGAACATGTAAACGTGGTCCACAGATAAATTGTTGATCATAATATCAGAAGTGTTTTTCCGGTTGACACATTTTTGGTATCTTGCATAGGAGCCAAGAAAAAAGAGCTCAAACTTGACAGTGTGGGGCCATTCTATTACAGGTTTTAAAGTAAATGAAAAGCTCAACACTATTGATTCAGTAGTTTACCAAAGTGAAAAAGACACTGATCTTGAAGTAATTTATCTAAAAGACGATTTCCCTATATTTCCGGAATAAAAATAATTTAAGTGGCTACCGTAGACACTCTAATACAGCATTGAGCTCATATATATCTCAATTCCTGTAAAATATATGAAAAAGTAATCTACTAACAAAATTTTAGTGATATTAGGATAAACATTTCGTTAGTCGACTACGTTTTGGTATCGTTTACTGGAACCGAGATATATGGGCTTAAAGTTGGCGGCTTGGGTGGCCTTCTAATAGAGTGTTTACGGTATCTGACAAAGGCAATTTATGCAAGTTAGAAGCATAATACTGAATAAATGGGTCTAAACTTAAACCTACTGAACACGTTGATCGTATCTGATTTTCTCTCAATCACCTCTTCTTATCTCTTCTTTACACTGTGCCTACCTCCCTGTTTTATGACGAAACTGTTCACTTCTATTTTTTTTCAAACCACTAATCACTAATCTTCTTTTTTCTCACATTTGCCATTAAATTAAATCTTCTCAATCACCTATCCTTGATTTTTTTTTCCCTCTCCCTCTATCTACGATTGTTGCCAAAACGACATTGGTCATCAAAGAGAGTGAGGAGAGAGGAAGACAGGTTCATGGCTTCTGCCAGACCGTTAATCCTTTTCATTTGGGAGACGACGGCATGCAAGGGTTCAGGTTCTTTTTAGAAAAAAGGGAGAGGGGAGATGACGTAGATATTGGTCATTTCTAGATGTTTGTATTTTCAAACGATACATTTCTGATGAATGGGACAGATAACAAGAAGAGTAGCTAGGTGCTGAAACTGGTACAAAAGGTCATTAAAAAGATAAACGATGCTTTGGGATTCTAATATTACGGAAATCCGGGATACTGAGAGTTTTAAATGATTCTGATTTTATTATATTTTTAAAGTAGGAGTACGTTCATCTTTTCGATATTCTAAGATCTGAAATGATAAGTTTTCAGATGTCCAAGATTTCGAAACTACTAGAACTGTAAGGTTCTGATACTTAAATGGAATAGCTACCGTAAACACTCTAATAAATGGTCATCCAAGCCGTCAACTTTGAGCCCATATATCTCGGTTCTTGTAAAAGATATAAGAAAGTAGTTAACTGGCAAAATATTCACCATAATATGAAACAAATTTTGTCAATTGACCACTTATTGATCTCTCTCACAGAAACCGAGATATATGGGCTCAAAGTTGACGGATTGTGTGGCCTCTATTAGATTTTTTACGGTATGTTCAGAACATGAAAACTTCTCAGAACTAAAAAAAAGATGGAAATCTTAAAAATAAAAAATGGAAAGAGGGGAATCAAATAATGATTGAGAATGAGGAAGATCCAGAAAAGCAGAGAGGCAATCAACCTTAACAAAGATGATAGTAAATCAGAACAAAATCATGACGACAGTATTCTCTAGAAGAGTTGTTTCATTTATGTCTCATTCTTTCTACTGGCTTCATCTTCTCCTCCTCCTCCATCTCAAATCGTCCGACCTACTTTCTCACCCAAAAAGAAACACAGAAAAAGAGGCAAAAAGACATGGTAGATTGGATGTCCGTCGTCGTCCCGTCGGCCAGAAGAAGCCGAGGCAAAAGCTGACAGAAGAAGAAGAAGCAAAAAGAAGCGGTTGGCGCGCGGACAGACAAACGGCTATCGGAAAATAAGAATAAGGCTTACACAAGCATTTTGGATTGTTGGGATATAGGGAAAACGAAGAGGGAAAATACAAATAGTGTGATTTGAGAAGACAGGGAGGGGGAGTTGAGAATGATCGAGTTTTCTGGAGGGAATTTACTCCCCCTCAAAAGCCACACAGTCATTTTATTCTTCCCGAGAAAATGCTAATGGTGAAACCATAAAATGATTGCATATGGTTACAGTATGCTCGAGTTGTACGCAAACAGTCGTCAGAGTTGTTGAGCTTGAAAAATATCATAAAACACCTAGAATTTTTTTAGTTCGCAATAAATATTAACCAGAACATTTACACGATTATTGTTTTCCTTTTGGTTCCCCATGTGCCGGTAGAAACTCGAAATTATTACGAAAAAATCCGGAGCTGCGGAAGAGAAACGTCGTTGGTCACGGCCGACGGTCCCACGACGACAACTACCGTAACCTAAAAACTTATTATGCTTGTCTGAGAAAAAAAGTGTGAGAAGCAGAGAAATAGTGTCTGCGTCTCCACTTAATATGAGCTATTTAGGCTCTCCGGTTCGATATCGCTACCGTATTCAGACTGCAAAAAATACTCTCTAACCTTTTTTTCTCACAAGGGAGGTGTTTTCAGACAGTGTTTGAGAATTTCTTGAAAATTGGTACACATATACTTTCGGACATGGTCAATAACGAGACGACTTTTTTTCGTGCCCCTCGGTACCTAGAAGCTGAAAAAACGCGTCTGAAATTTCACCTCTGTTAAAGCATTAAAGGTGGGGGGACAGGAGATTTTTCGTAGTTTTTTTGTAGCTAGAGTATGCATTCTACCGTCACGGTGTACAACGCTTAATGTCACTCTGCGTACAGCTGTCGTCCTCGCCTTTATGTATGCAATCGGGCGTGCCCTTTCTCTTTGCCCGCGTGGCTCAGTCGGTTGCGGCGCCGCACCCTCAATCATCGCCCTCACAAGTTCAACTCCTCGAGGGACATCTTTGAACGGAATTTCGAGAACATTTTTTTTCATGTCCCCCCACCTTTAAAAGCGTGAACGCGATCTCCCCCTTTCTTATACAAATTGTGGAAGCAGTGAGGAGTGGTGTAGTGGTGAAGAGGGATGGCGGTAAGTGACAGGGGTTAGTTCGATCCCTTTTTCCCCGATTTGTTTTCTGCTTTTTTTCTGATCTTGCTGAAAATCTCAAAGTGTGTCAAAACCTTTAGAAAAAATTTCCATTCAGATTTTTATTAATTTTGAAAAAAAATATTTTTGACTTGTTTCAAAAAAAACTCAAGAAATCATTTTGAAATTTTCTTGAAGAACTGCTGGAAAACCATTCTTAATCAAATCGTTAGTCAGAACCACCCAGATTTGCTCAGTTTGGATGCGGAACAGTAATAAATTAGTCAGAAATTATGTAAACCTATGTTTTTGCAAGATTTGAGTGCTACTGGGTGATTACCGCCTACGATCCATTAAAGTTTTGAAAGAAAGCACATATTTGTGATTTCCAGAAATATTTAGAATACCAAATTTCATGAAAAAACTCATTTTATCGGTTCTTTACGTTTAGAAATCATTCTAGCACATTTGGAAATTTTTCGAAAAATTGTAAAAATATCCAAAGGGGTACCATGGCGACTTTTTTTCAAAAAAAAAAAATTTATTTGAAAAATGAGGCTATTTTCTCATATTGTAGAGAAACCTTTAAAATACGATTTACGTTTGAGAAACTCCGAACAACTGCTATTAACCCCTTCAAAAATTCACTCCAAAAGTGAGAAATTAGCACTGAAATCACTTTCAGAGCCCATAACTTTTTTGTGAGGGGCAAGGGGCAAAAAATAAAAGCAGCGCTGTGATCAGCGTGTCCAAAAGTACCAATGACCAAAGTTTGAACAAATTCTCAACCACTGTCTGAAAACACTTCCCTTGTCAGACAAGCATAATATATTCAGAATTTATTTTCTCGATTTTGTGTTTCCAGTCGTCAATTTTCGCAAAAAAAAACTCAATTTTCCGAATTTTTTGGTGAAAAATAACAGAAAACTCGAATAAAAATCGAGAAAATGAATCCCAAAAATGAAAGTATATTTAGGTTACTGCACAAAAAAATCGAAGCTAAACTTCACAAAAAAGGTTATTACACAAAAATCGGAACGCTGGTGACCGTGGCCGAAGATCCCACAGCGACAACTACCGTAACCTAAAAAATTATCTAGATTTATTTTCTCGTTTTTCATGGATCTTTGTCGATTTTTTTGTTATTTTTCCCCAAAAAAAGAAATAATGAATTCGAAAAATAAAAATATATTTAGGTTACGGTAGTTGTCGTTGTGGGACCTTCGGTCATGGCCACCGGCGCTTCTCTTTCACATCGTCAGTTTTCTTTTATCAGAATAATTATATTTCTACAAAGAGATCCATTTGAATATCAGTTTTCAGTGTTCTCTTCCAATTTTGTTGGCTTCCTTCATACCATGAACTGCATTCACCACTTTCAGTGCTATTAAACTATCGGATAACATTGCGAGTAATTATACGGTCGATGACTTATTGAAAGTAAATGATACATTTTCTTCTTCTAGACTTCTTGTAATAGTCAATTGGAAGTGGAACCAGTCGCCTTGAGAGTGACCACTTTACGAAGGTGTCCGATTATGAAAAAATGACAAAATCTATTTACAATCAATGACACCATCAGCAAGTATTTCTCATTTTTCTTCTTATCCAGCTTCTTCCGCTTCATTAGTTGCCATCGTTGTGTCTCCTCGTCATCTTTCAATAGAAAAAAAAACGAGATTGGGTTCTCGGAAATGGCGCAATTCGAAATGAAATGAGACATTTCCATCGATCTGAATTATCTCTGAAGAGGAATCCGGGTTTCAACGATGTCAACTTGTGGGTCAGACTTGTATAATATATTGATGCTTAAAGAGAGGTGCGACATGGTCAAAATGATGTGATGGCGGGTCAGATCACAGTAGGAAACTGGTGTAGGAAGAGAGAAAACACGAATAGAAAAAATGAACAAGATTATGACCGAAAGAAAGTTGTTAAAGAAAAAATGGCAAGGAAAAATTAAGATGCTATAGAAAGAGAGGAATTATACAAATACTATTGACGATTAGCCATTCCGCGTTCCGCCATGTAGTTTCTGAACCAACGAAGGAAGGCGCAGATGATAACGAGTCCTATTATACAGTCGTCCAAGAACCCAATGACTCCGTAAACGCTCTCTGGGACAATGTCGAATGGAAGGAGGAAATAGAGACGACGCAGAAGATCACGAATGCCATGCGGATTCTGAAAAATTGGAAATTTTGGTATGTTCCAGTTGAAACGTTGCTTACTGATAGATAAGAGTGAAGATGTCATTATTGAAGAAGTTGCGGATGAGATATGGTATGAGAATCGGAATGTCTCGCAAAAAATCAAAAACCTGAAAATCAGAAAAATAAGAAATGATGATTTTTAAGCTTCTGTGTTCTGACCGGTCTATTAACTGAAAATCTTCTATTATAATCATCGATCTTCATATTGTTTTCGTGTATCTGATCATCGATTTCATCGGAAATACCGGAAGATGGCCAACGGACAGGGAGCAGCATGTAGAACTGAAAAAGGCAGGATACGGTAGAAATATAAACGTTTTATAATAAAACTATAAATTATTCTGGTACAAAAAATCGGAGCTATGGATGAGGAACGCCTGTGGCCGTGGTCGAAGATCTCAAAACGACAACTACCGTAACCTGAAAATAGTTTTATTTTCCAGATTCATTTTCTCGTTTTTCACTGATCTTCGTCGAGTTTTTCGTTATTTTTCTCCCGAACCGGGTTAAAAAATAATTTGAGAGTGAAAATTGACCGAAAACGCAAGAGAATTTAAATGATAAATCCAGAAAATATAAAATATTTTAAGGTTCCGGTATTTTGTCGTTGTGGGACTGTCAGCCACCGGCCGTTCTCTTCCACAGCTCCGGTTTTTTGTACGAAAAAAATTACTTACAGTGCATCTGCACATTGCACAATCACACGGAGCGAGTATTGGTTTGCTCTGTTGCCAGTATTGTATAATGCAGAAGCCTACAAAATGATTTTTATTTCAAACTTCCATGAAAATATGCAAACTTACAGCAAAAAATGTGTCCACAGTCCGTCAAAACTGCAAAATTAGCTTCTGCTAAGCAAATCGGGCACTCGTGTGTTGGCTGTCGTAGTGCTTCGTCGATTCGCTGAAATTTTTCTTAATCAGATAAATCTATATTTCTTGACAAACTCTTTGGCTATTCAATCGATGTCTCTCGCTTTCTGCGTCAGTTCCCATATCTGGCCTTTGTCGGCGGCGACGACGATTTCTGAAATTCAGAAAATCAGGTAAGTTTTTTTTCCCGAATAATACGAGGAAAACTCACTGCCAATACTCATATGCAACTTTCATCACGAGAATCACGATCACCGCGAAAGTGACTTGAGTCGCCAACTTAACATCAGCATCTGCTGGAAACATCCAACCGTCATCGACTTCTGTGACTTTTAAGGTGTCGTTATTCACACCTTCAGCAGGTGGTACTTCAACGCTGGTCTCCATTTTTGTGTCAACGAGACCAATCTGAAAATTTGAGTATACTGGTCACTTGCTTGAGATTTGTTAGAGAGGAATTATGAGAACGGAACTATGGACGGAGGAATAGAGAAAAAAGGAAAAATAGGGAAAAAGGAGTTAACAAGATCTATATTTAGCTCTGCTACTAGTCGTGAACTAGCGAGAAAAAGCAAGCAAGCCAACAGCAGCACTCAAAATTTCCATGACATTTTTTACGTTGTGAAACGTTTAGAACTTCGCGTGAGCTATGTGGAGCCTGACCGACAAAAAAAGTCGCCATGCAACCACGTCGCACCAGCGAGAACTGAATGCGTATTTCGGAACATCAGCAGTGAAGAGTAAATACGCAATTCAAAAAACACAAAAGGTTGTGTCTGTAATGTCGTCGTCTTCAATGTCAGAGAGTTGTCAATCTGGTGGGACCCAATACCAAATCAGTGTGCCGGCATTTGAAGCCAAGGTAAATGAGGAGAAATAGCAATAGAGAGAAAGTGGAGTGTTAAACGAAATATATAGCGATATAGAGGAATTCAAAACTCTGCGCATTAGACAGAACATCGAAAGACAGATGGGTTAACTGAGACTGATGGTTCCTCGGTAGAAAACCGATTTCGTCAACGCGTTCTCCATTAGGATGACGTGTTTTAACACAAGCCGTCCAGTCAGTAAAAACGAGGGAAGTAGTTATTGTCGAATTAAAAAAAGTGGGATCTGAGAATTTGAAAGGCGTAGCTTTCTTTGATCTACGAAAAAGTGCGGCAAAAACGTAATATTTCAGAGTTTCGCCTCGTTCGAGCTACTTTCGCAATTAAGTTCGGTTTTTCTATGAAAATCAGATTCTAGAGATGCTAGCGATCATTTCCACACCAAGAAATCTAAATTTTGTACAGAAAATCCCACAGAATTCAAAGAAATAAGTTTTGTTTACTACTGTAGTGATTTTGAAGCAAGGCCTCGAAAATTGACCGGGAAGCCGCCCGCGAAATTTTCCAGGTCCCACTCTTTTTAATTCGACAATAACTACTTCCCTCGCTTTTACTGACTGGACCGCTTGTGTTAAAACACGTCATCCTAATGGAGAACGCGTTGACGAAATCGGTTTTACATGAGAAGCGCAGCATGCGAAACTGAAAAAAAAGAACGTTACTCGTGTAAAAGAGAAATAGAGACGGAGAACGTTAGAGTTTGTGAAAAATGTACATGTTTTTCTAGATAATGGCAATAACTGATCAAACTGAAGAACTGGAGAAGGAAATCGATCAGATGAGAACTCTACAAGAGAAAATTTATGAGTTCAGAGGGAGTCATGTGGATAGATTCGAGAGAACTAAAGAGCGAATCATTGAACTACATAGCCAGATGGTCAGCAATGGAAAGAACATGGTCAATTTGTGCAATGACACGTACAAAAAACTTTTAGAAGGTGCTGAGCCGTACCTAAAGTAGGATTCGAACATATAGTTGAATAGTTCCAAAGCCACGTTTTTTCAGCAGCGGCTATACACCAAAAGATCCTGAGCAATTGACAACTTTGCAAAAATGCTTCCAACTTCGTGCAACGATTAAAGGTCTGGAAGAGACAATGAAAAGAACTCAGGAGATCGGACCGATTGCGATGGGCGATCACAAGATGCTGAGCTCCCTTGAAGCGAAGGTTTTTTTAGTCTAGAGAGACATCTAAACCATGATTTATTATAGCAACGCGAAGCAATGCGTCGCCGAGAGAAATTGTTCAATGTCAAAAGATTGGCTAACGAGTTCCCTGATGGTGCTCAATTACATTTTTTGGCCGTCCTTCCTGCCCTTCTCATGATTCTTGAGCGATCGGAAAACGTGTCTGCTTACTACCAAGAAAATTTCAAAAAAATCGAGAGCAAAATTTTCGAGCTATTTGAGAGCTTGACCCACAACGAAGTTAGTTTTCACGAAAAGAGCAAAAAAAACAAAATATGAGAACTGTGTGAATTTGCGTGAATATGTGTGCTTGCACCAATGCTCGCTTGTCTACCGTAATCAACCTAAATTTATTCCAGCCATCCAATTTCAATGGAATCGGAAGTCTTCTGTCAACCCAATCGAGTTCAAGCTTGAGCAACGGAGAAATCAATCTGAATTCGATTAAGGACCACAGCGAAATTCCACTCGACATCTCATCAGCTGCTTCTAACTAACAAATTTTTTCCTTCCGGACCGGACTAGAGTTTTATAAAATTATTGTTCTGACTGATTGAGTGGTTTAAAAAAACATAGACGCACACACATACTTTGTTTAATCTATCATAGAATTCATCTTGTGCATTTTATCTCGTTGGAAACAGCTGACATTTTGTGGCGGAGCTCAGACACAGCGAGCAACTCTGTTGTTGTTTGACAAGAGAAAGAACAGCTTTTTACTTTAGTCTTCTTAATTCAATTTGAAAAAGTGTTGACCGTTGTCCAGATTCTTTTCTTCCTTTTCAAGTGTGTTTGTGTTCAAGTTGTATTACGAATTTCGAAACGGAAAACAATAACTAATTGCCATTGAATCATCTTGTCCTTATCTCATTTTCTTATGTGCCGCCTGAAGACGCCGAGGCGACGACCACCCGCATTTTCATTCAATCGCCTATTTTCGCCATACCATTTCATGCCGTTGTACAATATAATATATAGTATGGTTTTATTAGTAACCGCCCATCATGGTTAAAAAGACAAATGAGGAAATTAGAAGTACAAACATATCGTATCCTCTGGAACGAAGAATAGCTTTGAGAGTATAATATGCCCCGACCTCCTTGAAACATAATCTTTGGATTCTGAATATAAATAAATCTTCCTCTATTGAATGCTTTCTATTTCTATTCAATTTTCATTTTTCCGCTTATGCTTATTTCCCTTTTTTCCTCACTTTTCGATATACAGAGAGTTTTGAAAAGAGAAAGAAAAGTCAAGTGTATCCTCCTTTTCTTTCTTTCCGTTGTCCACTTCTCGACCCGCTCTCTGCTGCTGCTACCCATCGAAACATCCCTCACCGGTCATCACTTTTGCACTTTTCTTTGTTTTCAGGTGCAGGAAAAAAGGAGAAAACAATTATATCGAGCATTAGTTCTCGAGAGGTTTTCTTCTTTTTTCGTTGGCTCTAAATTTGGCAAAACTTGAGTCACAAGATGATTTATCCTTTTCTTCTTAAAAGAGACAGGATCTGATGTACATTTTTCGGATGCATTTTCCACTAGCTGAAGTCTGCTAGATTCTCAGTCTTTGAAAATTTTCTAATTTTTCTAGATCTAGTATTCAAAAAGAAACAAATGATCAGAATACGTTTCTAGAAAGTTTTATAGTAATTTTGAGATTATTCTCACGAGTTCAGCATTGTGAGTCAACAGGTCAATTAGAGATGGTTTGTAGGAAGAGGTTCCAGAGAAATAGGAACTTCAGCAGAACCCATGACTTTCATCGGAACCCGAACTATTATTCTTTCAAAATTATGGAAGAGAAACTCTGTTAACCATGGTCGAATGTCCGACAACGACAACTACCGTAACCTATAAATAGTTTTATTTCCCGATTTTGTTATCTCTATGTCCGTGCATTTTCAGTCAATTATTCCACTTTCAAAAATAACTACTGTAACCTAAAATTGTTTTATTTTCTAGATTCAATTTCTCGTTTTTTTACTCGTTTTCTTGTTTTTCGGAAAAAATGGTATTTTTCAGCAAATAAGTCGAAACGTTGAAACTAATGATAGCAAAAAAACTGACTGAAATCGTACTTAAAAAGAGATAATGAATCCAGTAAATGAAAACATTTTTGAGATACGGTAATTGTGGTTGTGGGACCTTCGGCTACGCCCATTCTTTTCATTGCGGTGCTTCTCTTCTGCAACTCCGGTTTTTTGTACCAGAATGATATTTTAAATCTAAAGGAAACTTCTAATAACATTTTTGAAATTTTCGTTTGATCCAGATTTCAGCACACGAAAATTGTATTATTCACTCTCCCATGGTGTAGAAAGTATATCAGAAAGTATATCTTCTGCCTTTTACATTGGTCATTTTAGTGTTTGTATACTTATGTTAATACACACAATATCTTCCTTTCGCTCCTTGTTAAAATCCCGTTTAGTACTAACAATTCACACAACCATACACCTCCAAACCCCACCTCCTTCTTCTTCTCCTTCTTCTACGTTTTCTTCCAAAAACGGGTGTTTGGTTTTAATTTCTATCAATTTGTGTTCGTGTCTACAAATACATGAACAACACGAAATACACTCGAAACCGATCCCCCCAGGTGCTGTGTTGGTCAATTGTCCACCTTCCGATATTTTGTTGACTTTTTCACTTTATTCGCCTTTTCTATTGAGGAAGGCTTAATGTGTAGAATGAGAAAAATGACGGTATGGAGAGAGAAAAGAGCACACGAGTACCTAGAAAAAGAGAACAGATGATGAACAAACAAAACTGTTTTTGTCCACTATCGGGTTTCATCAAAGAGGGGTTTTTCTCACGGTTTCCCTTCGGTTACTTGATCAAGTGATTCATTTTTTGTTATGTTTCCTTTTCCGGTGTGTCATTTTTTTATCTGAGTAGAAAGTCAATTTTCAGATTTTCTCCAACCGGGTATACTGTAAAACCGGTAGAGCCTCACGCTGTCAAGTTTGTATTATTTTAATTCCTTTGCATGTTATCAAAAATGTGTCAACTGACAAAACACTTCTGATATTATGATAAACAATTTATCAGTTTACAACTTTTTCATATTTCTGTCAGGAACCGAGATAAATTGGCTCAAAGTTAAAAATTAGTGGGTTCTTCTGTAACATGTTTTACGGTGTCTGGAATTCCTAATTTACTTAACTTTTGAGTTTCTTAGAAATTAAAAATTTCGGAAATTTCATGGTTTTCCTGAATTCTTCATTCGTCTTCATTCCTAAACTTGAAAGTTTATCAGATTTTTGCCATAATTTGTCATACTTTGTTTTCTGAACCTTCAACTTTGAAGGATTCGGAATTCATCTGAAGATCAGATTTTTCCGAATTTTCATTTTCCATATTTATTGTAATCTTTTTATTTCATAACTTCCGAATGTTCCCAAATTTTAATCTTACTCAATTACCTAGTTATTTTTCCAGACCTTTCCAGATTAGAAAATAGCTGAAAATCAGATTTTTTTTCAAGGTTTTTCTGAACTCTAAATTTATATAAAATAAAATTTTCCGCGATTTCGATTTTTCCAACTTCTGTATTTGCCTGTCTTTTTAAAAGAAATTACCTGGATCCATTTTTTTCTCAAATTTCAGGAATTATAAAGTCAATTTCCAATCTATCTTGATCCAAGTATTTTAGATTATTTATTTTCTGTTTCTTGATTTTCAGGTATTACAATGCCGTTTTCTGACAAAAATTAGTTTATAGAAATATCTATAAAAATGCATTTCGAAACCAGGAACTTCCAAAAAATACTATCAACAGAAAGCAATATTCTTTGCCGAACGTCGCCTAATGACTCATCACTTTTTTCTTATTTCCGTTGCTGGCATCCCCCACTTATAATAGAGGAAGAAATGAGTGACAGATAGTATGAATTGTATTATATGTAATGGATGCCATACCACTTTTTGTTTGTCGGATTTTCTTGGGATTGTCTTGGAATTTCTTTGTTGATCCCTCACATTTTCTTGATCTTTTCTAAATTTTGAAACCTCTTTTCCGGGAAATCCTTTTTCTCCTCATTTCTTATTTCTCTCACTTTTTATCAACCAATTTCTCTTTTGGTTTCCCTCTTGTTTCGCCACATTTACCCCCCCCCCCCTCATTTTCATGGATTCTCTTCCATGTCACTGACACATTTTCTATTCTCGAGAAAAAAGAAAAAGAAGAACACCTCCGATTACCCGTGTCAACTTTTCTCACGTCTTCTTCTTCTTCACCAAGTCCTTCTGAATTCAGAATTAGTCGTGAAATCGAGACTTCGCTCCGAGAAGACTTCACGTCTTCTGAAGACATGTCTTCACGGTATTCTGGAGGTGGAAGTAGTATCGAACAATATGTACAGCAACTTCCATTGTTATCACTGGTAGTACTACCATTGATCAGCGCCATATTTGGATTGAAATATGTGAATTTGAAGAGTGTGATCCATTTTCAGCAGGTGAGATTTGAAAAAGAGATCTGGTAACCTTAAGTTAAACCTAAATGATTTTGGCTAAGAAAAACCAAAAAGGTGTCAATTATTGCAATGCTTAACATATTATCACAATTTTTATCTGTAGGCAGTTTCAGAATATCTCTTACATGAACCAAGCTAAGCTAACGTACCGTAAACCTGTAATATAAAGGACCCTTGCCTGTTAAGTTGGAGTTTATTTTTTCTCGGCTCCTATGCAAGATATCAAACATCTGTCAACTAATAAAGCACTTCTGGTATTATGATAAACAGTTTATCAGCTGACAACATTTTTTATATATTTGACAGGATCCGAGAAAAATTGGCTCAAACTTAAAGTTTAGGGGCCCTTCTATTACATGTTTTACGGTAAAATCTTTGATAGAGTTGCACCCTGAACGTCAAAGGTTCCAAAAACATCTAACTTGTCAGGGAACTCTTGGCTCATCACCATGGAGAGCTGCAACCACAATGACATTCCTCTCAATTCCAATATTCTTTGTCTGGTGTCTCTGCGTACCAACACCATCTGCCATATTCTTCCAAGTTGGAGCATCGTTGGCTCTTCTTCTGACAGCTCTAACTTCTTCTCCAATTCTTCATTATCTACCATCTCCGTCGTTAAGTATGTATTATCAGCTGCGATATCTCTCGAAGCCACGTGAGTTTCTTTTTTGGGTTACTGTACTAAAAAACTTTGATTTCAGTCCGTTCTATCATCACCATGACTCAATATGTTCTCTTATCCGCTATCTCGATTATTCTCTTGTATCTCAGCGCCACATTTCTCTCAACTATAACTAATCTTTCGATTTATTTGGTCCTTCCTTTAATTGCCTATTTCTCTCTATTTGCTGTGATATTCAGTGGACATTCGAGTATGATGAATGCAAGTTTCTTTTTGTATATTGTGGTGAGTCTTGAATTCAAAAATTTTCAAATAAAAAAATCTTAAAATCAGGTGTCAATATTGGGAATAGGAATATTCTTGTACTATGCTGTTCAAGACATTCAGTCATTTGGAACTTTGGTCCCAGTGGAGAATTTCAGAGTTTCTGATATTCTATCTAGTTTGATGGTTGGCTTTACAGTCACCTTCTACCTTTTGAATTCCAGCTTCCAGTATCAGGTGAGACATTCTAAACATTTTGAATACAAATTTGGCAAGTTTCAGATCTATTCTCCCATGCCAACCATGCACAAACTTCGACTCACTCTAACTTTTTATGGAGTATTCCAGTTATTTGTGTCAATTTTTATATTTCTCTGTGCCACAATCTTCCTCAACTTTCTTCGAGAACACTGCAAATTCGCAATGTCTTTTGGATCATTCTTCCAATTTTCGAAAGCAATTCTGGGAAATCGAATTCAAGTTTTCACCGTCTGTGCCTCTTGTCTTTGTATTCTCTCTTTCTGTCTACAATGGACGATAATGTCACTGGTGACACTCACATGGGAAGAGTTTTGGGCGAAGAAATTAAGAGCCTGGAATCCAATTCAACAATTGTGCTCTTTGCAATTTGGAATGCTGATTTTGACCACGATTGTAGTAGTTTTAACGGTGGCCACTAATTTGGCACGGATTCCTATTGGAATGCAGCTCCCGACAATTATCTATGTGCTTTTGTAAGTTTTTGAAAACCAAACTCGAAGATTTCCATCCCGAATTTTCGCAAAAACTCGCCATTCCCCTCTTTTCGAATTCTCCCTTCAATATCTTCCTCGTCCCTCTCCTTCTTCCCTAAGCTCCGCCCACTTTGCACACAAAACATAGCAGGCGGCGGAACTCGGGAGATGTCCGTACATGCGTTACCCTTACCCCCAACGCGCGGCGACTCATAAACTTACCTGGCTGGGGGTTTTCCGCGATCATGAAGGCGGAATCCCCATGGCGAGGCCTGTCCATTGCACTTTTGGAGATTCGCCAACAGCTCAGTTTTTGCGTAACGCGACTGCGTGCGCGCGGTCCTGGAAAGTACTTACTGTAACTGACTCTAGAAAGTCAGGCATCTAATTTCAGCTCTCTATTCTCCATCATCTCCGGAGTGACGATATGTGGCTATTATCTCCCATTCTGCTCTTCAACTGGTGCTATATCCAGTTTTATGCTTACCATGATAATAACTGCGGGCAACTTGGCACTTTATTTGGTGAATAATACTCCCCAAAAGTTTCAAAATTCTTGTATTTTGGAAGATGCAGTGGGAAACGGAACTTCTGTTTCGAGGTTAGAAGAAAACTGTAAGATACACGAAACAATTTTATGATTGCAGAGCTATAAGCATGGATCGAGTGGTATATTTCGTGTCACATCTCCCACCGCAATCTCAACCAATTATAAGTTTGATGGTATTTTTCCCAAATGTGTGCATTAATATAATTTTGTTTTCTCAGCTCTTCGTTATCATCTGCTCAATAATCTCATTCCTCACTGGTGGTCAAGATCAAATGGGTCTCGACTGGAATTTGATTGCATTCACATGGGCAACATCAGTCAGGAGTCCTTCCAGTTTCTCTAAACGACAATTCGTCGTGGCAGCTGATACAGAAGATTTTCGATATGCTCAACAACAGAATAATCCAACACCCAGTCCAGATGTGAATGCATATCGATGACTGCTCACTTTTCATTCCTTTATCATATTTTTTCATTTCTCATTTCTCTCCAGTTTTCTTCCACAAGTCATTTCCGGGTTCAAGATTTATTTTGTAAAAAGTCTTTCAAAAAAAACTTATAAAAGTTGTTGCTCATAAAAGTGTAAAACTTTGTCATTTGCACATAAATTTAAATTCAACACAGTTATTCAATCTCCTCAATTTTCAAAAATCTTGGTGGTGGCGGAGACTCGGGCGCCATGCGATGATTATAATTGTAATCATATTTCGGTGGTCCTTGTGGATGGAACATTCCAGGCATATGATATGTTGGAGCAAATGGGCGGTATGGAGTTTTGAGCATATGGATTGGGATGAATACTGGATCAGCTTTTCCGAAGGTGGAGTATGGTGGTGGATCCGCAGAGAAGCTCATCTCGGTAGGCGGGGTACAGTAGTAGGTGGTACTTGGAGCATCTCCACCGACGGATGTTGATTCGGGGTACTGAAAAAATTAGGTCACTGTAGTTTTTGTTGTACTATAGGAAATTACCATCAAGCTTCTGCGACTGGCACTTGGGGATCCGCAGTTTCCGAGGAAGACTGGTGTTCCGATTTCGAAGCAACCAGTGTTGGTGAGCAGGAGTTCATAGGTAACCTAGAACAGCATATGATAGTGACCGAATTTTGAATTTTCTAGGCCACCAAGACTTACCTGGACCGGGTTTCCATTCCAACAGAGCGATGGATAGCAGTCGAATGGAACTTGGAAAGAATGGAAAACTGCAAACGACTCATTTGGTGGAACCGATCCCAAAATCAGTTTGGTGATCAGGCGGGAGCTGCAAATAAAAATATCTATGCAAATTTGCTCTATCAGATACTCACTCGCTTCTCTGAGCATCACCAGATTGATACAAAATGTGTTGTCTCAGTTCCAAACTGGCATGCTTGATCGGGTTACTCAAATGCTCATTTTTGATTTCTCCAGCCACCAGAATATGCTCCCCTAGAACAAAAAAAATTGGTCGATGAGAAAAGGGATTATCACAGAAACCCGAAGGAACCCGTTTTGTCTGATCAGCTTTTTCGGTTGCGCAATAGCTGGATTGTTATCTTATCTCGTATATATCAATGTATCTTTTTTTTCTGTTGATGATGCCGATGAAAGGAAATATTTCTATTAGTGCAAAGAAGCGGTTTTCGAAAATATTAAATCATGCTGTGTTTGGAATTTTGCCAACGAAATATGTGCTCACCAACGGTATATGCAGCTCGTTCGATTTCGAATTTGATATGAGCTTCGAGACGATTCATGAAGAATGCCTAAAATCTGATCTATGTCTCTTAATTCACTCAGAAGTACAAACCTTCTTCTTGACATGTCTATCAATGGATACAGGTTGAGCAAACGATGGTTGCTGATCCAATGAAACCCTTCCCAACACATCAACAGCCTTTTCACACTCGATTGTTCCCTCGTCTCCCGATGAGAATCTTTTCACTTTCAGCTGCAAAAAAACAATTGTGTGATTCTTTTTTATTTTCTTTGGAACGTTCATTTCAAGGACTTTTCATTCCTCGTGAAGGGCATAGCGGGCACGACACTAATTAAGGGTTTTTGAGAATGACATGGTCGTTAAAATTTTTGGTTTCTGTCAGAAAAGAGAAACCGCTAGGAGGGGGTTTATTAGCCACCGACAGTTAGGGTTAATTGTTTTCAAAAAAAGGACAACAGCTGGGAATATGTCACTTGACTAAACATATTTTTGATGGGCTGGGAAAGCTGAAAACCGAAATGATTTTAGAAATCTTACCTTGACCAAGAATCGGTAAACAATAGCTCCAAACTTCCCATTGAACGTTCCTGGCATATGATGTGGAACATTCAGAAAGATCGGAAGTCGATGATGTCCTTCTGGAATCACATCAACGCCCTGAAACACTAAAAACTTTCTAAAATAACCTAGATTTGGCTTTGCCTTGGTAGTAGCTAGTTGAATAGCCGAGAATGGAATGTGCAATTTTTCCTTGATCAGAGTGTGTTGAGAATCTTGACCGGAGAATGTGGCGCGGCAGACTCCCTGAAATTGGTGGTAGGAAAAGAAGAAAAATAGAAGAGGTGATTTTTGAATTCTTGAACTAGTAGATGCTTATCTGAATAATTGAAGAGAGGGAAAACAAACAAGTCGATTAACTATTTTTGACGGTACCAAAGATTGAAAGAAACATTCACAGATTTCAGACTGAAAATAAAAAAGAATACGGAATTCAAAGAACAAAAAGTTTAGAAATGGCTTAATTAAAGCTAGTATTGCCAAAGTTAACTACCGTAAATACTATAAAACTGAATTTAAAATCCCCCACAACCAAACCGCCATCTATGAGCTCATATATCTCATCTCCTGTGAGAGATATCAAAAAGCGGTAAACTGATAAAATGTCTCGTACTATTTTCCTATTACAGCGTACTAGTTTAAAGACGAAAACCCGGAAATCAGAATACACAAATCTGAACCCTCCTCGATCTGCCTTACCTCAAATACCGCATTTGACTCCAAAATCTGCACCGCATTCGGAATCCGCAATGACAATTCCACCAATTCCTTCTGCAGAAAAAAAAGAGTAAATCTTCTTTCCAATTTGGATTATCTTTTCCTTTTCCTCTTTATCCCCCTCATAAAAAACCGGGCCTCACAGGCCGGATTAGACACGCTTCAGTTTCTTTTCCGCTTACTACCACAAAGTTTTCAATAGGGTGGACAATCGATGATCCGAGAACAAAAAGAGAGTGAAAACTGATTGCAAAAAAGTGTTATTGTTTTCTTATTGGGTTTGACGGGAGGAGAAAAAGAGAAAGGTGGTGGTTTTTTTTTTGGGTTTCTTACGCTTCCTGCCCTCAAAGGACGGTCAGGTACCAGGAGACGGATTGCTCGTTTGTGCTTCATTTCAATCCTGAAAATTGGAAATTTGAGATGATTAAAAAAGATAATTATTGGGCACATGCTATACGAATAGAAAAGGAGGTTTTCAATTTCTGGAATTCAAACATTTTCGGAGTGTGAAGAAGTTTTTTTAACAGGATATTTGACAGCTACAGTAACCTTAGTTCCTGGTAACAAAAAAGAAAGTTTGATTTCCCATTTCAAACTACTGATCTAAATAAAATATGGGACCTAAAATATGGAGGCTAACAAAATGTCTTTTAAAAATACTATTAAAAGAGTCAAAAAAAATACTATTAAAAGATACTATTAAAAGATACTATTAAAAGAGTCAGAGCTATAAAATTTTCAGCCATTTCTGAAAACTAGAAAATTTCATTCTCCAAACAAACATTTTAAGCAGAATGCAATAAAACCAACGATAACAATTTGTTGAAAAGTTCCAATATCAATAAATCAGTCCTGTATCTGTTAGTCACTAATTGGTTTTCGAAATTGATTTTGAAATTTTATGTTCGACTGTCAAAAGATTAAAACGAATCCAAACTTTTTGAATCTAAAGCACATCTTCGACGCGAACTTCTCGATTCCCAAACCCACTATCAAAGCTAAACTCTTAAAAAAGAGGAAATTTATAAAAGTTCAAATGTACTATTGACTGAAATTGAAGAGTGAAAACTGAAATGAACACATAGAAGATGTGTCAGATGATTGCGTTTTCTTCTCAATCTTCTCCTTGTTCAAAGAAAAGAATAGTGTGTTTGGTGTCACCTCCCAACCCAATTTATTTTGTCTCCATCTCTTCTCCTCTTCTGTCTCTCGATTCATTGTCACTTCTGGCCACGCCCCGATTTTTTCCTCGGACGCCTTAGCCAGTTAGTCGTCATCATCATCAACTATTCAATCTGTGATAGTCTATGTCTCTATTAAAGTAGCCAGAAGACAACACAGGAGATAATTGACATAGCCAGATATTACGGTAGTTAAGGAAAATGAAAAGTGGGATTTGAGATAGCGCAGGAAACCGACATATAGTTGAAGACCGTTCAAAAAATTAGCAGGCTATAAAGGGAAATTACGAAAAAGTATAAACTGAAAAAAATCAGAATCAAGGACGATGTTCCAGAATGTCAAACGCCTCCAGAAATTTAGAAATTAAAGATCCTAAAAACCTGATGGTCTCAAAATTCGTGAATCTAGGAGTTCAAAAAGTGCGGCCCAGATTTGAAAGAAGCAAGTTGATGAAGTCACAAATTTAAAGCAATAAGTTTCCAGAACTAGAAGTTTGGAACCAAAACAAAAAATTGATGAATTTGCTAATTTTGTGATTCCAATTGCTCTTTCTAAAAGAAGCTCACCCTTTGAGCTCAATTATCTCGGTTCCTATTAGAGATATCAAACATTAGTCAACTAATTAATGATTGGTGATATTATGATACATAACTTATCAGTTGAAAGTTATTTGATATATTTTGAAAGAACCGAGATAATTGAGATCAAAATGCAGGTATAGGAAGAGCTTCTATCAGAGAAAATACGGTATTTTGGAAGCCAACAAAAAGAACTGACTGAATATTTGAAAAATTTGAGACTTTTCAAAATCAAAGTTATCTGTGAAAAACTAGCCGAAATGGCAGATTTTTGTAATTCAAAAGATTTTGATTAACAGGTTTTTCGAAGCCTAGAAGTGATGATCTTGAAGTTCAACGCCTATACAATTTGAATACTATCCAGATTTTGAAAGTTTTATTTTGGAATTCTCCTAAACTAACACCTATTTGAAATTATCTTCTCAGGATTAGCGAGGTCCCAAAATTCAATGTACAACCTTCAAAAATTGATAAATTCCAGAAGATTATCAAATTGAACGAATTTGCAACAATTCGAGGTTTGGTTCTGAATACCAAGTAGGATTTCGACTTGAACTAATCTTGTTTTGACATATATAAAACTAACGTAAAGAATATCCATTTTCTATATTCCACCCCCTTACACAAGTGTTTTCCTTTTCGACATAAGCTGCTATTATGTAGCATGATTCGAAATTGAAAATGGCCATTTATTCTGACCTGAGATTTCGAAAAAAACAGAAAAACAAAGAGTGTCCGATTCGAACGAAAAAAAACCGGGAAAGAGAATGGAAAAAAGGACAAAAAGATGTTAGAAAAAGATAAAAGCTATGTATGGGTAACTGGGTTGAATTGACACCTGCCCTCCGAGGAAATTTAAGTGAGAAACAGTACATTACTACTTGGGAAAATGGACGGTAAAGAAGGAAAAAAATCGGGAAGAACAATTTAGAAAAGACGGGAAAATGGAGAAGACGAAGAAGACACAGATTGATGATGACTGGACGGCAAAGGAAGAAGAAGAGCCTAATGGAGAAGAGAAAATGGAAAAATGGGAATTGGGGAACGATTTGTGGATGGGGGAGTGGTTTCGTGGTGACAGGAAGGACGTTTCCTGGTGATAAATGGCACAAACAGGTGGAGTTATTGTGCAAAAATGGTAGTGGTTAATTTCGGGGTCACCGGAATATTTATGGATGAAAATGTTGAATAGGTGGACTGGCAATTGGATTGAGGTAAGATTTGTGGTTTATTGTGAGATTTATGGGATAGAGTTTGGATTACCTAATATAAAGATTTGTAACTCTAGTCGGTGTAAGTTTGGCATTCATTTTAGTGCCAATTATAGATACCGTATTTCCTCTGAAAGCTCACGTAAACCGTCAATTTTGAGCTCAATTATCTCAATTTCTATAAAAGATATTTTAAAAAAGTCAACTAATAAAATGTTGGTGATATTATGGCAAACATTTTATCAGTTGACACATTTTTATTATCTTTCACAGGAATCGGGATAATTGAGCTCAAAGTTGACAGTTTGAAGGGCTTTGATTAGAAGAAATATAGTATACAAAATATATGAAATGCGGTATAAAAATAGAAGATGCTCAGTATTCCCATGAATTCTGAAAACACTAAAATTTTGGTTTTGAAGCTAAAAAGCTTTTACGGTACAGTCTTGCAATCTTTTAGTCAGTGTTTCGGTATAATCCTTACTATTAAATTTTTGAATATTTATAATTCAATCCACCTTTTTGCCCGTTTATCTCAAAACCAGAAAACTCGCTTTCAATAATTCAAATAAAAAATCTTTCATTCATTTAATCCTAAAATTCAGTACAGTACAATTTATCAATAATACTAATCCTTCCTTCTCTCATTCCTCGAGTGACGTTGCTGTTCCTTCGCTCGTTCCTTGCTAGTCCTCTAGAAACGTCGGACGTGTCTTTAACGCTGTGCGGGGGAGGTCTAACTCGAAGACCACCCGGGGAATCGTACTCGTCCGTTCCATTCCCCAGGTGGTCCCACAACCGCACACGTTATCACGTTGGCTACGTGGACGCTGACAGGTGAATACATAGAAGACGTATAAGAATATAGGGTCATCTGGATGTGAAGATATACTATTTTTGATGACGTCCGTATGTGACATCGGAAGGTGAAAGAGTCATGGATGTGAAGGGATCGTGTCTAGATGAAAAAATTTTCAGCATTCCAACTTTTGGAGATTCAGGAAAGTCAGAAAATTTTACATAAAAACACTCTGAGAATGTTTCCAGTAATTTCTTTAAAAAACTCTGAAAACTATGTATTGTGCTGAAAACCCATTGACATGTCAAGTTTTACTGATAACAAAACAGCCTCTTCAATTTCCAGATTTGGTAGAATTTGGGTTTATTTCCATTTACTTAGAAATGTATACAAGTGAATTTCCCAGCTAATTAGATACTACTACTGCTAATTACTATACTCGTCAGCTATCATAAAATGTACCATTAGCCTCCCTCATTATTCTTTCATCCGAATCGTCTGACGATGTTGCGGCGGCGACGACGCAATAGTATCGGTTTTTTGACACTTCTCGATTTCATTATCCATCAACATTCAGCCATCTCATCTCTTTCCGATTTATCCAATATCTAGCCGATGTGTAGCCTAATACGATCACCACGGCATTTTTCTTCCGACGGCAAATCTCACTCGAAAAGAAACAATCTGTGGATAGAGAGAAGGGAACAGTATACGGATGAGAAGGATCATAAGAGAGATTTAGATAGAGAAGACTGGTTTGAATCCGAGAGGAAGCTGAGGGAAGGCGTCGGATGGGGGGAGGGAAAGAGATGCCACACAGAGGCTAACGATGACGACGATCGGTGTTTCTTCATTTCTCCTTGAAGGAAGCTTCTGGATATTTACCTTTTTTGTTGTCCACTGACTATCGAAACAAATTCATTGATTGATAGGATTTTACAGTCATTTTTTGAGACAAACCGGTCGGAATTAAATGGCTCATAGGATTTTCTCTAAGCTTCAAACTCTACGAAAAGTATTTCAATTTTTTTCAGGAAAGGTTTTTTTTCAAAATTTCACTTTTCGATTTGATTATTTTCAAGTTATTCTCCTTTATCCAACTTCTTCAGTGACTAATATTCCTACATAAAACTTTCAGAAAATGACAAGGATACTTCAACTTGCCCTCTCCACATTTCTCATATCCTTCGTTTCCTCAAAATTCACTCCAGATTTTTCCCAATGGTTGGCAGATTACTATGGACCAATGGTCAGGAATCAAATCGAGCGATTGGATTTAGGACCAAATGGATCGTTCGGTGGAAAAAAGAACAGAAATGATTCCTTGACAAATCAGCCGTTGATTATTGTTCATGGAGTATCGGATACTGCTGGAGAGAAACCAACATGGGCGGCTCAATGGTTCAGAAAAGAAGGAAAATATAAAGATAATGAAATTTACTCAACAACATATTTCAACGGAGCCCAGGGGAATCCATTGAAATGGATCGAGTACTCGATGAAGTGTGAGTACGTCAAACAGGTATATCTTTTGAAAAGGAGCGCATTTGCATAATTTGAATAATTCAGGTACGTTCTCTGATAGTGGCCGTCCGTCTTTACACTGGAAGAAACGTTGATGTGATCGGATTCTCGTTGGGTGTTCCGGTGTCTAGAAAGGCGATCCTTGGAGGTGATTTGAATTTTAATTTATTTGGAGAAATGTGATTTGCATAGAAATAGGAATAGTGAGTGGGAGGAAAAATGTGCGATTCGGCCGGAAATGAGTGGGTTTGGTGTTGGAGACAATAAAAATATCATCGGAAAGTATCATCGGAAAAGTTTCAGGTTTTTGAGAGTTTTTTCTTTCGAATTCTGGCGAGTGATCAATAGGATTTAGGGTCTGATAAAGCAAATGGAAGTTAAATTTTCTTAAAATATCTGAAACTACTTACCGTATTGAAAGGAGACCACTCGAACCATCAACTTTAAGCTTAATTATTTCGATTTCTGTGAAAGATATCAAAAACCTGTCAACTGATAAAATATTGGGGATATTAGGGTAAAAATTTCATCAGTAGAAAATTGTGTGATATCTTTTGAAAGAACCGAGATGATCAAGCTCAAAGTGTACGTATAGAGTGGGCTTTCAACTACGTTAGCCCATTTAGCCTTTTTTAGCAAGCTGAAAATTAACACCTATATGCTAAAAACAAGCTAAAAAATTTTCACGAGAACTGTTGGGCGCAGGAAGAGGGTTTTTCGACAGGAAGTACAAAATGTTGGTCTATTTGCTCATCCTAGCTCATCCTGGAAATTTACAAACAATCTGACAATTTCTCTTTCTTAGTTTTTTTTTTCTTCAAATTTTCATAGCCCGGCGCGGGCCTTCATCTTACAAGTGTGCAAAAATTATTTTCTGTTCAAATAAATCAATTTCAGAAGTTCTAAAATGATCTTTGTTCCAGGCCGTTGTGTTGATACCGGAGAGTATTTGGGTGGTCCATTAACCCGTGTCGTCGACACATACGTCGGAGTTGCTGGCCCAAATCGCGGAGCCTCTCCACAACTCGGTCCACTCTCTGTCCCTGCTTGTGCTCTTTCCATCACTCCAATCTGTAATTCTGTAAATGGACTCTACTCGGGTAATTGTCCAGCTCAAAGCGAGTTCCTTCAGGTACATATATTTTCGGAATGGATGTAAATTATGAATTTTCAGGACATCAACAAATACGCTCATTATGAGGGACAATACACATATTCGATCTACACACAGAAAGATCAAATGGTTGGATATACGGTTTGCGGGCAGGTAAGTATCAGAAAAGTAGACCCTAGACTATGGCAGAGTATTTCAGCTAACCTCCCCATTGCCTGGACAAACTGGTCAACGTGTCTACACTGACAAGAACCACGATCAAGTGTTCGATGATACTCACGATGTTCAGCTTCGAATGATCCGGGACCACGTCGTCATCTAAATACTTCAAACGTGTTATGTGCCTATTCTTAAGACTATGATCTGAAAAACAAGCCCCTGTGTGGTTTCATTTTTATTATATTTCAAACTGATAATTTAAGAATTTAATAAAATAATTTGTAACAAGAAAAACAAATCAACAAGATCTAAAGCATCTACAACTCGTTATGGTCAAAGTTTGGTTGACCTGGTGGCACTGGATCGTAGTTCACGGATCCTCCCTTGGCTTCCTCGGACTGAAAGAAAGACATTTAATTTTCATCAGGATCTTTTTCCGGACTTACATAAATGTTCAACCACGTTTTTCCATTTCCAATTTGAACTCCAGCCAAAGTTTTTCCGTTTTGAATGATCTTTCCTCCGATCTTCCAGTCTCCTCCAAGTTGTGGAATTGGGAGTGCTCCGATGTCAATTGGCTCCTTTTGCACAAATGGAGTCACATCAATTGGTCCAGAAGACTTGACCTTGAGAAGGGAGCAAACTGTTGGGGCGAGAGAGCAAAGTTGGAATTTGCTAAAATTTAGGTAAAATTGAGGATGATCAAGGTGTTTTACCAAAGTTGGTCTGGGACGAAAGAGTTCTCCGACTTTCCGTTGACGCAAACCTTTCCAATCATCCAGCTGTCTTTCTCGACGTTCAAAGCAAGTTCCAGATCGGTTTCGTCAGTGATTGGCTTGTTGACAGTCACGAATCCTGGAATTTCGGATATTTTAATTTTTTGAATCTTAGAATTTTATAGCCTCCTATATCATTATTTACCACTCTATAAATTTTTTTTCCAAAACTACGGCCGCTTTAATTTTAATTCAAAATCTCACTTTGCAAACCTCAACTTCCCAAGACCTCATTTTCAATTTTTACGAATGTGTGTTTTACTGATGTTCGTGTATGTTTGTTTGAAAACACAAGAATACTATTTGATCACACGGATTCTGGTCCAGGCATCTTTCTATTATTAAATGACCTACAACTTTTTGACAATTCTAACGTACCTTTGTGAAGTTTGAAATGTCCTGGAAGACGGAACTGAGCCTGTCCTTTTCTGCACGATGGCTCCTTGTTCTCGTCATATGTGGTCACTTCGAAATCGGTGAAAATAATTTGTCCCTTTCCTTTGGTTGTGTCGGTGAACTTGATCACATTATCTACTCCATCTTCGCACTTTGCGGCCCAAGCCACTGACACGAAGGCGGCAAGAATAAGCCACTTGAAAAGCATGCTGAAAATACAAAGAACTGAAAAAATTTTCAGAAAAACAAGAGGAGCAATGTGAAGACTGTTCAAACAAAAAGAGGGAGACTGTTTCACACAAATGAATTATAAAACTAATATACTCTTCATTATAGAATGTGTTTGAGGAGGAAGAAGAAGTTTCAGCCTCCTTCTTATCAATGACCTGATAAGGCGGTTTGGCTCCAAAATTTGATTAGTGCATCGGACAAAAGCTAGGGAAATAGTGTGTGATTTGGAGAGACATCAGACAACCTAAATTGGCAAATACAATAGAGGCGGTATGCGACGTGTACCTATATGGGTGACGACGTGGCTACCTGATGAATAATGTGGAAGAATGGAATGGAACTGCAAAGTTATATTTTAAGAGCTTTAAGGTTTATAGTTTGGGAAAAGTGTGGTTTGTAAGTTAGGTGGTGTTAACGTTTTGTTGTGTGTATGAGTCAGAAAGGAAAAAAAGACTGAAAATAAAATGTGAAGATGTTCCAGAACAACACAAATCACAGTCACTAAAAAGTAAAACTGAAAAGAAAGACATTTGAAAAAAAAATTGGGTTTTGTTATCATAGTGTTTTTTTTCTAATTTTTTTGTAATTGCCAGGAGGAGAACACAAAGACAAACGTATGAATTAGGATGGGTTTTGAAAATTTTGAACGGAAATTTTTCAAAGTAAATGGAAACCTAGACAACTTGAATGACCTGAATGACCGAAAATCGTTTTTAATCAGCACTCTCTCCATTCGAGAACTTGCAAACCAGTTTTTGTTATTATAAAGTTTTGCTGTTGAAAAAAAACTTTGAATGGACGATTAAAAAATTTCCGTTTTTTAAAAAGAATTCTGGACCCAGATTATTTTCATGACACCTAGTCGAAAATCACAACTTCGACAATTTCAAAAACATTGGAAACTATCACATTTCAAATATTCTGGAAAAACTAGAATTAAAATATCCTATTATAGAAAAAAAGTGACACATAGCTAGATTCTGAAAAAAAAACTTAAAATACACTCAAAAAACCTATTTTTCCAAATAAAATTATATTCTACATTGTGTTTAGGAGTACCAACTTATAATGTTATTTTTAAACTAATTTTCAGACTAAATATTTTTTTAAAGGAAAAACGGTATTCGTAATTAACTAGAGCATTTTCAGCAACATTGTATTTCAAACTAGCAGAAAATTATCAGTTTCGTCTCTTATCAATTTGGGCAGAATCGAATTTTAAATAGGAAACTGCCCAAAGAATTTTCATTCCAAGATGAAGACACATTCACAAATAACTGCATTTCCAAACCTCTAAAACAACAAAACGCAAAATGCTAATAAAACATTTCTATTCATTTTGGCTGAAAATGCTTTCAGGTAGAAGAAAAAAATTCATGACACCGGGAAACAATTATTATCGAATTTATCTCTATAATCTTCATTGATATCACTGGGCATGATCATTAGGAATACCACGATGCGACACTTTGAATCTCATTGCCTCCATTGCTTGGAAACCTTAAAACCTGTAGAAGGGCCTCCAGATTGTCAAATTTGATCGGATTCATCTTGGCTCTTATCGAAAATATTTAAAATGTGTCAGCTGACAAAATCTTCCTTATGTATAGAACACAACTGTGAAAACTAGTTTAGGTCGCGCCGAAGGCGCACCAACCAGCTGTAAAAATGAGAAGGGTATTCATCCAGAATATCCAAACCTACAGCACCGGTCATTAGGATTCACAAAAACATATTTTCAGTTGATTTTCGGCCATTTTCACCATTTTCAAGAATCTGGAGCTCGGTTCTTTCAGAAATCGACAGCCGAGGTCTCCGAAGACCATTGTTGGATGAAATCCTAAGTTCTTTTCCATCGAAAAGAAGCCATGAATACGCTTTTTATTTTCATTTCATTTCTTTTAATCTTTGATTGGATCTTTTTTGAAAAGGGGACGTTCAGTGGATTCCACCTAGCCAATAACCCCAAAACATGGCGACCCTTGTTAGGGCCTTCTAGTACTTTTTTCGCAATCGACCAATCGAAAGATCAAAAAGAAAATGAACCAAAAAGAAAAAGCGTAATGCATAGAGATTCTTACCAGTGAGAAAGTGCTTGTGAATATTATCCAACAATACATTTCAAAGAGTCTGATTTCACAGGGAACTGGTTTTTTCAATACGTGGAATTTTTAACATGGACAGAAGGAGCGGGCGTGACCTTATTTTAACTGATTTATTTATTTATTGCGTAACGTAAATGAACAATTTTCCAAATATTTTTGAGAAACTTGAAAATCAATATAATTTGACGTGACCTTTTGAAAAAGAGAAATCAAAAAGTGACGAACAGTAAAGTAAATAGGTCAAATCACGGCGAAGGTCCACCAGCCAGCTGTTCGAAGCGCGGGAGGCACTGCAAACAGGCTGGTATCAAATAAAGCAGAAAATCTGGGATGAAAAATAAGTATTTGTCTGAGAAATGAATCTCTCTGAAAATTTAAAACTAGATGGGAGAAATTTCTGATTTTGATTCTGCTCTCACGCTAAAGACACAAAAAATTGAAGTCGAGTGCTGGAACTGCCAAAATAAAGATCATTGGAAGATCTTTGTGAACAAAAGTCATTTATGATAAAAAAATTTTGCCAAGTTATTTTGTGAAATCTTGAGAAATCTTCAGGAAAAAGAACACAATGAATCCGATTTTTCCATATCTCCTTCAAGCATTCTGCATTTTTCCACTAACGGGTTTTCAATTTTATTGCCCTTTTTTCAAAAGCCTCGAGCATCTGAATTTTCCCGAACATCAATAACGATAACAAAAACAAATAAATTATGGGTACTGTACTTATTCACTTCTTTCTTGTTATTCAATTTTTTGATGTTTTGGCAGGAATTTGAAGGCGCTGCGTGTTAAGAGGTCGAAAACTGGCCGGTAATTTGTCGGATCTTGGTCAGCTTCCCACAATATCTTTGCCGGAATCTGACCAATCTCCGGCCAGAAGTAACTGGCGACGCCTTAGCTAAGCTGATATTTAAACCCCTTATTATCCATTCCTCACTATTTCTCAATTTTCGACAGAGACCAGGTGCCTTTGGCACCGGGCCAATGGTTATGGTAATGCCATTCGACACTTTGGATATGCTCTCTATCTCTATCTCTCGTTCTCCCACCTCTGACTTCTTCATCATCTTTTTCTTCTTTCCGCCTGCTCGCCTTTTCCCAGTAACTTGTAGAACGCTTCCTCTTTCCTCATCACCAGACCATTCCGAGAGACAGAACTCTCTCAATACTCCATACTCTCTCGTGTCTGTTATAATATCAAGCAACAACTCAGATGACCTCGAAACATATAGCCATACTTCTCCCTCCTCACCAAACCTCGTGACTCGGGGCCGACCAAATTTGGCTCCGCCCTCTTTTCTCTGTATCTTCCGGATAGTACATGATCTCTCACTTTCCTTTCGTTCCTTCCCTGTCATTCAATTGCTCGTGTCCATCTTCTCATACTTCTTTTGGAACTCGATCAATATTTCGAATATTTCAGATGTCCGATAATCCCCCGTCGCCCCCATCCGAAGTGGTAACCAAAGATCTTGTGGAACCTGAAGGTAACTTTATATTAGCCGAAGAACTTTAGTTGATTTTAATATTTTCAGTTCGCTCGTCGACTCCAAAGCCGGAGAAGATTTTAGAGTCAGTTCTGGAGAACGTTCAAGGTAAGTTTTTTTCAGAGATTTCGAATATTGGAAAAATACCATGAGCTTGCAGAAAAAGCCAAGAATCCTGAGAATGGCTTGGAGGAACTGGAGCCCTCGCTCCAGGATGTGACCGGAAATGAGCATGGAGAGAAGGATCCTCTGGAGCCTGAACGAGGTGAGTATTTTACAAGAAGAATTTTTTGTGTCATAGAAGAATCAGCTTGTAAAAAGTTCTCTGTTTGAATCGAGCCTACTGCACTGTATCGAGCCTACTGCACTCCCTAAAAGAACCTCACTTGAACCGTCAACTTTGAGCTTAATTGTCTCATTTCCGGTAAAATTTATGAAAAATTTGTTTACTGATAAATTATGTACCCCAATTTCACCAATATTTCATCAGTTGACATCGTTTTGATATCTTTTCTTGGAATCGAGATAATTGAGCTGAAAGTTGGCGGTTTCGATGTGGAAATACGGTATATTGAAAAAGATCCCAAGTATTTTTCTGATTCTGATGTTTTCAGTTCGCTCGTCGACTCCGAAGCCGATCTCTCTGCCGGAGAAGATTTCAGAGTCGGTTCTGGAGAACGTTCAAGGTTAGTTTTTTTTTCAGAGGCTTCGAATATTGGAAAAATACCGTAAGCTTGCAGGAAAAACCAAGAATCCTGAGAATGGCTCTGGGGAACTGGAGGCCTCACTCCAGGCTGTGACCGGAAATGGGCATGAAGAAGATGACCTTCTTCTCTGGAGCCCAAAAGCAAGTGAGTATTTCAAGAAAAGAATTTTTAGTGTCATAAAAGAATTGTTCTCTAGTTGAATCGAGGCTACATAACTGTACATAGCGTATTTTCTCTTTCGAAACGGTATATTCTAAGAAAACCCAAGTACTTTTTTTTGGGTGACCTGTTAACGGATCTTTTGCGAATAGCTTGTGTGAATATGAATTTCTCTTAACCATTATTTTTTCCAGATGGAGCACCTGCTCCAAAAGTCGAGGTCTCAGTTGTCGAGGCCCTAGCGGTCGAGGACCCAGCGATCGACGTCCAAGCGTCCAACACAGCAGCGGTCGAAGCTGCAGCAGGTCAGGAGACCAACGTTCGTCGCTCTGGCCGCAAGTCGGGAAAGCCGTCCCGCTTTGAGGAGTATCGTCTCGAAAAGGTGGCACCGCCACAGAAAAAGAGAAGAACTAAATAATTGTGGCTTTTTCGTATTCTACTTATTCGGTATTATTGTGCTCCTTTATTGTAAAACTACCTCTCTTTCAATTATCTTAAATAAACCCGCATAACTTCCATGTTCTTATTTCAATTTCTCTTATTTTTACTGGTTTCTCAAATCCAGAACCTCTTATCTTTATTTTTCTGATTTCTCATAATTGCTTTTTAGAGCAAGTTCATTTTTCAGGATGGCTTCTGTCACAGCTACTGACCAGTCACTGCCAATCAGCATGGGTACTTCTCAAAGCAACCAAAGTGAGTTCTAGACTAGAATGTATTCATAGGAAAATCTGAAATTTCATTACCTTCCACAAAAAGATTATTACAGAAAAGACCAAGAAGACCGCTGCCCCGCCAACCCCCGTCGTCGTGAACTTGGGCAAGCGCAAGTCGTGTCCGCCAGATCGTCTTCAATCCATCGACTTCCGGACCAAGAAGCCAACGATCAAGGGGTCAAAAAAAGCTGGACTTTGAACCTCCAGTACCTCCAAACGCCCTTCAAATAGTTTTCCAGTTTGTCAACAGCTCCAAGACGTCAACATACTCGAATTCCTAAATATCCATTAGATGATTTTCCATGATTTGCGAATCTCACATATTAGAACTTTTTTTTCTTGATGTCATTCTTCTGAATTCTCAGGTTCCAGGCATGATTCCATTTGTTATTCACTTCTTATCAAGCTTCATCTAAACATTTCCAACTAATATTTGATCAAGACCCCGTTATCATGGCAACACATCTAACCACATCTTCTTGGGTTATCTCTAACCCTCCAACTCTCTCTCTATCTCCAACTTTACTGCTCATACCTCTAATTATCAAGTATATGCTTCACTAGATTGTGCACGATAAACGAAGCCGTCATCGTAAATAACGACATCAAGTGCATATCTTGGTCACACCTTCCGCCAGAAGACCTCTCTCTGCTCCTCTTCAATTTACGATGCTCTCTCTTCTCCACCAGATGACTGAGGTAGCCCCGCCCCCCTCAAAAGCTCCGTGTGCATAATACTCATTCTAATCTTTCAATTCACACACTAGCTAATCTGCGTCTTTCTGGTTTATAGGTTTAGAAGTGTGTTGTACTATTATATTTTTTTCTCACCACTCGTTGTGTCATCTGACATGTCAGACATGCAAGCGGATGAAGGAGGAAAGCCGAGCCCGGATCACGGAGAAGGTATTATTTTATTTCTTTTTTGAGTTCAAACATAAATGCATTATTATAGGCGCATCTTCTGCCCTTCCTGTGAAAGAAGTCATCAAAGAAGTGCTGGAAGCTGCTAAGATTGTCAAAATGGAGAAGGCCGCCAAATGTGAGGCAAAGATAGTCTATGACGACCAGAAAGGATCTTCTTCTGCTACTATTGCTCCAGAAAGCACCACTGCCAAGAAAGCTGCTCGATCGCGCACAGATAGTGGAGAGGATGCCGAGTCTTCGGCATCTCAAATGATCCAGAGATCTCCAAGTCCAGTCGTCGCTATCGACCCACCGAACACACCCGAGGATCTCGAGAAGGATCCATCCCCAAGTGAAGAGGAGGAGGAGGTTTCTGTGAACCGTGAAGGTAAGATTCTAGTTTTGATTTGATACATTAACCTGATTTTTGAATTTTCAGATGCTCCAGGAGACGTTGAGGAGCAACAAGGTGCCTCTGACGTTGTCAGCAAGACTAAGAAGGTCGTTACCACTTCTCCGGCACTGGCACAGAAGCCAATCGCTCTCCCAGCGGTTCAGCAGATTCGGGATCAGGAGACAACTGTCGCGACATCGGCTTCGTCTGCTCTAGCGGCTCGGGAGCCGCGAGCTCGTCGTTCAGCTCCATCGAAGCGCTACCCGACGGACTTGTTTCACGTCCCCGACCTGGGTGCTCCAAAGAAGAACAAGAAGACAGCTTGAATAAATAGACCCCTTTCGTCCGTCCTATTAATTATTTCCAGTCCCAATCAAAAACGTTCTTCAAATTATTTACCAATAACTCTCAATACCTCTCTTTTCAATTATCCTCGAAATCACATACATATACCGTATTCTCTCTAATTGAAGCTCATGGGCTTCTGTTTTTCAACCTCCTTTTCAGGAATTTACCAAAAATAAATTATTCATCAAGTTAAGAGTCAGGTATCACATTTACAGGTGAACTGTTTCTGGAGACTGAACCAGGACATGATCACTTTTCATGTTTTTTAATGTGTTCCGCATAATTTTCAGGGAAAGGAATATTACTATAAGTTTGGCAATTTCTAGAACTCTAAACGTTGTTTGTGAGAAATAAGGTTTCATTTCAAGACTGGACTGACTGATCTGAAAACTCCGTTTAAAATTTTCAGCTTCGCGCCAATTTCGTAATCGCGCTCTCCTGCGAATTGTGTTGTGTAGTCCACGAGGACAAACGAAATAATGGCTTCGCTTTTACGAAAAATTTCGGTTTTCCAACCAAATTTCAGTTGCTCCATTCTCATTTCTTTTAAAAATTCAGCATTTTAGACGACAAGGAGCATGTTGGCTATGAAGGAGGACCTGGGCGACGGATCGCCCGTTGCGAAGAGTGAAGAGGAATTTTCACGTAAACATTATTTTTTGTTGAATTGCATAATAAAAACACTCATTTTGATCTAAATCATGATATTTTTCCGTATAATTGAGGTTCTAAGCAACCTAGTCACTATCCTTGTCCCGCTTTTGCTTTCATACTCTTAATCAGCTCGAATCTCTATTCAGGTTCGGTGAATGATGACAACGAACACAAGCGTTCCCGTCCGTTTAAGGCGCCAGAATTGCAAAGCATTCCACCATCGTACAACGCACGCGATGCTCAAGATCTTCAGAGAATTCAGGAGGGTTTCCTGAGAAAATACCTGTCCAGTCATGGAAGTTCAGAAGAACGAGATGAGGCGCAGGTGGTGGAGAAATACTGTTCCACAAAAAAGCTAAATGGAGTTGGAGAACTTCTGGCCAGTCTCAGGAACCCTCCGAAGTGTCACAAAGAGAGAATCGTGCTTGGTGCTGATGGAAAACAAATCAAAGCGCAAAGGGAATGTCGTGCTTCGCTTTATCACATCAATCCATCTGAAGAGTTCGATAAATGCGTCATACCACAAAGTAAGGAAACAAATGGTTTATTTTTTTAATGCTAATTTTTCAGTGAGTCAAGAATTCTGCGCTCCAGATATCAACATGGTACCTGCATCTGCAATGAGTGTGAATGAAATCCGAAATCGTGTTCGCAAGAGCATGTTTCGTTGCAAGGTCTGCAAAAATCGATTTGGAGAGATGTTCTTATTAGAGAAGCATCTTCGTAATAACCATCCGAAAGCATATATTGCATTCTTGGAGGAGCAAAAGAAATTATGTGAATACATGGCAGAAATGGAAAAAGAGCGAGGACGGATGGAAGAAATCGCCAGCGGCGGATTCATTCCTCCAGAGTCTGAAATTGAAGAAGAAGCGAATAGTGTGGATGTTGATACGATTCCGTTGCCAGGAGAGAATAGTCAGGGACATGTTCCACGTTTGAATCGTTATGGTGGTCTCATGTACCCGATGGATGCGATTCGGAAGAAATTCCCGTACTTCAAGAAGGTTGGTAGGCTTTATTGCGATCTCGGACACTTGAAGTTGCCGTTTTCGTATCGATTAAACAATCTTTCATTTCAGCGCTCTCCCCAATGCCCATTCTGTGATAAACGCTTTCGCAACGACATTTCCTTCACGAATCACATCAACAAAAAGCATCCCGAATGCACAGAATTTGTGCAATGTCTTCACTGCTTCAAGTGTGTTGCCACCCAGGATGAACTCAAGGACCATGACTGCGATCTCACTTATCTTTGCCTTGACTGCCGCCCGATTCGCAATATGTGCACCGCCTATCGTCTCTTCAAACATCGCTCCAAGTTCCATAGAGGCAACAACTCCGGTTTCCGTTGTCCAGACTGTCCACAGAAGTTTTTGACACCGAGAAAGCTGCGAAAGCATCGAAAGCTGTGTCACATTTTCACCAAAGTGTACCAGTGTCACTTCTGCGAGGAATTCTTCATTTCTGAAATCGCTGTTACCGTTCACGAACGAGTGCACACTGGAATTCTGAAGTTTGAGTGCACAGTTTGTGACTTCAAATCTAGTCGCTATATGCAGATGGAAGAGCATCAGAAGGTAATTATTACTGAGAAGAAGAGAAAGTGACCCATCAAAGATAGGTCATCAGAAAGAAATAACAGAAAAACCAACATGTAATTATCGGCGGCCAAGAAGAAGAGGACATAACTTTTCGCCCCATCATGTTTCATCAAAAATGTGGCTAATGATAACTTTGAAAACAATTATACATTGTCAAAACTATAATAGAACGTCATCCGATTCAACAAGGAAGCAAAAAATAATCATTCGCTTGATTCATAGGATAGTGAAATAATAAGAAAAAAAACATGAGTCATATCCTCTGAATCCCTCCATTTGCAGATTTTTAAGTTTCGAAACAAATATATTGTTTCAGGATCACCATGGCTACGTTTGCTCGGTTTGCCAATGCAAGTGCCAAAACTGGAACGATGTTAAGGACCATATGCTCACTGAACACTCGTGCTACATCACCGGTGAAGCGTCGCACGCCTACATCGAATCACCACGTATCTGGATTATGTACAAGGGAGAATAATCAAAATATTATTTTAAGCATCCTCTTAGCTTAGCTTTACAAAAGTTTCATTTTATTTGTTTACTCTTAATTTACCACCCCGAACGTTCTGCTTCTAATACCCATTTTCTTTTTTCCCCTTCTCTATAGTTACTCTTCCCAGACTCCTGTCGCGTTGAATAAACGTCCTCTGCACTTTTTTTGTGATCCTTGTATTCGCCTCGTTCGCTTCTTCTCCTTTTCACCGTTACTTTTTTCTTGGAATTCATCCAAGTGATCATAATGTGAACGTCGGAGGCAGGGTGATCCACGTTCAGAGTACTGTAGAGTAGAAGAGATCATTGAGATTGGAGAGACGACAGGACGAGATTGATGTGGGAGGAGAGGAGAAGCAGCCAGAAAGTTCTCTCTTGCGACAATTTACATGGTCACTCTTTTCTTTTTCGACAACTACACGACAATTCAATGACAAGGTCGACTTGGTTTTGGAGATATATGGATTTTGGAATGAACAAACTGTTGTCTCGGTTTTGAAAAAATTAATTCTCGAACTGTTTTAAAGTTCAGCGGACATCTGGACAAACATACATTTTTGAAAAAAAAGTTTTTTCGGCATAGGAAAGTATGTCTTTTAATATGTCGAAATCTGGACAGACTTACACACAGACAGATAATCGAAACCAAATATTATTTATCAGAACGTTAGGTAAATGCGTTCGAACGGGAATATCCTGCAAAGGCTTTGCTCTCGACGCGAAAGCTTCGAAGGTGATACAGCCGAGTCTTACGGTTTTGTGCCTGCATTTCATAGAAAAAAAACCCGAGCCCCGGGAACAAAATTGACATAAAAATCGGCATCGTGGAAGAAAAATGCTGCTGACAGTGGCCGAAGGTCCCAAAAGGAAAAGTACCGTAACCTGAAAACATTTGTGTTTTTCGGATTTTTTTCTCGATTTCCGACTGTTTCAGGGAAAAAAAAAACAAAAAAATCATTATTTTCAGGTTACGGTAGTTGGCATTGTGAGATCTTCAGCCACGGCCACCAGCAGCACCAATTTTTATACAAGTATAATAACAAAGAACAAACAAAAAGTTTTTTTTTCAGTAAAAAAATTTGTATAGCATTCATCAAATTTATTCAAATGGGCAAACAAGAGTCAAATTAAACAGTTATTTGACCATTTGATGGATGGTCAAGATGACGGACAAACAGTACCGTAATCTATAAAAACGCGCTCCAGTGACTATTTTCCAAAAATGAAATTTTTCCAACACAATATAACTATACGACATATACTAAACCACACAGTCATGTCACAAGTCACCTGGGGATAATCTACAGTAATCCCAGATAGTTCTGATGTGAAAAGGGGCGGGGTCTAGGACTCCTCCCACTTATGCTTCTTTTCCTCGTCGGAGGTCTTTTTGTAATATTTCTTTGGATGACTTCAGAAGACCTGATCTCCTAGTTTTTGGGACATTTTTTATATGTAATTTGGTGAGTGGGGTGACCTTTGTGGCTTTTTTTGAGATAGGGGTACTGTAGTTTTTGAAGGATTCGAAAAAAAGATGGTCTAAAAAGCTATTGTAAATAAATCGATGGTATGTTGCAAAAAATTATATCTTAAAAATTTTCTGAAAACTAGAAATCGTTATTCAAAAATTGTTTTTTTTTGGGTATTAGTACTTGTTGTTAAATTTTTCTTTCAAAAGAAATACCGTAATCCAATCATCTGTCAGTTGTGCAAATACTATTAGCCAAATACCCACCTCGCCTGACCATTTCAGCCTCCTTTTTCTAGACTTTTCTCCATTTAGACTTCTCGAAAACTATCATTTTGACTAGGTGGTCGTGCCAGTTGTCCCATTTTTTCCTCATTCGTTTCCCCAGTCATTTTTTACGAGACACACAGTTTAGTCGTCAAATATTCAAAAATTTTTCTCTTTCCTCTTCTCATGTTTTTTTCATTTTTATGGGTGGTCTCTCACTGTTCCCTTACCCCCTATCCATTGCCTCTCAAAAGTACTAAAAAGTCACAAAGCTTCCATTTTTGAACACCCGCCATTGTAAAAAAAGTGAGAATGTGTCAGCCGTTTTATGGTCGGTTTGGGGGAAGTAGGATGAGCTCGATGGGGGAATCGTACTTTTTTGAGATGGGAGCAGTTACAGTAAAGATTAAACCAATTTTTTCTAATAGCTATTGATAATAGCTATGCCTAGGCAGCCACTGCTGTAATTACAGTAAAACCTTCAATAGAACGACTATGTTGTCGTCAACTTTGAGCCATTTCGGTTCTAGTGAAAGATATCAAAAAGAGATCAATTGACAAAATGTTATTGATTTTTTGGTAAACTTTTTGTTAGCTTGAAGTTTTGGATATAAAATGGGAACCGAGAAAAATGGGTTCAAAGTTGACGGTAAGGGTGCAACTCTATTACAAATTTTATGTCAACTCCGAAGGCCCCACAACGACAACTACCGTAACCTTAAAATGATTGTTTATGTACTCCGGATTTAATTTCTCGATTTTCATGAATTTCCAGTCAATTTTCTCGTCCACATTTCCGATTTTTCGTACCGGGATAATAACTTGTTTTTCTTGCTCATCATCTTTAAGCTGTCCACCATGAGAAGAGTCGGCCCTACTGGAAGAATACTGTAAGATTACAGTACTATTAAATTAGTGATAACTTGCTTTTTCAGCAGTAAAAAATCCCAGTGTGAGAATCTAATATTAGTCAGATTTTATAGACAGGTCTGAAAACTTTCTGAAACTCATTTGGAAGAATATGCAAACCAGTTGTCAACTTTCCTGAAATTGGAGAACATTTGAGCTACTGTGGCCTGCATTTTTAAAAGAGAAGGCAGTCTCATGAAAAAATTATATACTTTAGCTACAGTAACCAATCAGATTCTACTATTTTTAGTCTTTTTGGATTTTCTGATCCCTCAAAACTACCATTTCTTCTTTTCCCCCATACTTTTTCTCCTCCTTGTTCTTCAAGCCCTGCCTGGGGGGCCGTCCAATTTTTTGCCCATTTTCTCATTTTTTGCATAGCTTTCCTCCCGTTTTCCGTTTTTCCACCCCTTTCATTTTTCTGCCGTCCTTTTAATGGGCGGTCCATTCCTTATCTGTGCTTTGAAGTGAGAGATTATAGAAGATGTAGAGTTGCAGACAACGTTCAACACAAAAAAAAGAACGAACAAAATGCCTCTGGGGGATTCAGTTTCGAATTTGCCGCCGGCACACAAAAGCAGGGAGTTTTTTGTTCGAGTCTCTCTGTGCTCAAAAACGACGATTCATCTATATTTTAATGGTTTTGTGTCCACTGCACTCAATGGCACACACACAAAACACCCACGAAACATTTCGTCCCATTTTTTCCAATCTTTTTTTGGAACTGAATGGGTGATCAGGGATTAGTATAGAGACTCATAAGAGAGGGTATACTGTAGCTGTATGCTGTCATAAAGTCAACAGATTTTATTCCGATTTGTAGGTCAATTTTCGAATTAGAGTTTTCGGTTTCGAAAATCTCATCGACAAAAAACGAACGGTGAGGTAAAAAAAACGTTTGGAATCAGCGGATCAAACCGGATTACGGTAAGCATGGAGGCACAGTTAAATAGGATGAAAAAAGGCGACGCATGGGGAAAAATTAAAGTTTTTTCTGAAAACTTATTTTTTGCTAGATAATTTTTTTAATCTGAGGATCTAGAATCCGATCATTTCAGAATCTCAAAACTCAAGTGTTGCTTTTTCGAGAATCTGAAAATCGGAAGATTAGAGAATCGGGAATCTGACACCATAATTAGGAAAAAAAATATCAGAATTTTGGGATATCAGAATCTCAGAATTATGGAATCTCAGAATCTCAGAATCTCAGAATTCCAGAATCTCACCACCACGGAGTCTCTGAATTTCGAAATTTCAGTATATCAGAATATCAGAGTCTTAGAATTTCTGAATCTTTCTCTGCCCTAACCTGTAAATTTTCTCACCGTTATTAAACTACACACGATGAAAATAGCTTTTTTCTAGACAAAAATTTGATTTTATGAAAGTTAACCTGATAAAACTTTTGCTCGAATGAGCACATCTTCCATTTCAGCCCCGAAAAATCGTCGGAACGGAAAAAGAAGTGTGAGACGTATTTAATCATTTTTGTCCCGTATATTATACACCTTTTTGTAGGAAATTTCAGCCTCTTTTCTTGGCATTCACAATTTCATAACATTCTAAAAAAGTCTTTGCTCAAAATTGTTCACATTTCAATCTAACCACTGTTCGAATTCATTCACCAAACTTGATACTCATTTCATTAGCTCCCCTTCTTTTGAAAAATGAAAAAAAATGAACGAAGAAAAAAAGGGAAATTGGACTCACTAGTTTTTTAGTACCCACCCCAGTGGCCACCCCTTCGAAGGAGTTTTTTCGGTCATACATGGAGCACATTTTCTTGATTAGAAAAGTCACTTTCGTCCGTTGCTCCATTTTCTTGCTCCACGCGAGCAAGCATGTGGGTCTTCTTGGCTCTCCGTGCCGGGCTCCAGAAGAATGTCTGAAAAGAGTGTTGAGACTCCGCCCACTTTTGGCTTCGTGGGAGCCGCGGGGCCCTCGTTTTTTTTCAGTTCGTGTCGGTTGGTGGCTGTGCATGAAAAGTAATCAGGGAGTCATAAGGTGGGTGTCCGAAAAAAAATGTTTCAGAATATTATTCTCTCTGACATTTTATTAATTCCGTATAGTGGATTGGAAAGCAGTAAGAGTTTTTTGAGGCATAGAGGAAGCTACAGTAGGAAAAAAGTTGGATGGCGTGCCAAAGTTTGAATCAAGCTTTTTGTTTGAAAAATTCTACTGATCTTGTTTATTTAGTGTTCACACAGTGAAGATGAAACTTTTGGAAATTTATCAATTTTAAAAATCCTGAACTGATCATTCGAAAATCTTGTCACCCAGAAAATACCGTAACTGCTCTAATATAAGCCCACTCATATCGTTCACTTTGAGCTCAATTATCTCAATTTCTGTAAAAGATATAAAAAATGTGTCAACTGATAAAATGTTTATCATAATATCTCCATTATTGTATCAGTTGAAAAATCTTTAATATCTTTCACAAAAACCGAAATAAATGAGCTCAAAGATTACATATACGGTAGGCTTCTATTAGAACATTTACGGTATGGTATTTGGACAAAATGAAGTTTGAGAATTCTGAAATTTTGAAATTCTGACTATGAGATTTGTTGAATTGGAGATTCTAAGTTTCCTAATTTTTTTTTCTCTCCGGAATTCTAGAACTCAGACATTTCCAAAATATTGTCAGGGAACTGACTCATTTCGTCGACTCCATATTTTTGGAAAGCCAGTGTTATAACTTATAAGAAACAGAATTCCCAATCTGAAAACGACTTTTTTGATAACCTGATCTCTTGCTGTCCATGGCACACTTTTTTAATCTCCGGAGAAATCACGAAACATCGTTTCCCAATATTTTTTCCCACCCAGGTGCGGAACTGAAAGGTACGGCTCGGCAAGCCATTTTCCTATGTTCCCACGGAGAAAAAAGTCTGAAACTGGTGTTTCCAAGTTTTGGATTTTTTGGCAGAGAAAACGTAGGTAGTGGGAAAAAATGATGACGTTCGAGGATCAGGGACTGAGATTTCTGGAATATTTAAAGAAAGAATCCGAAGGATCCAAAGTGTCTCCCATTTCCGAACCACTGCCTACTGACCCATAATCTTGTGTATTTCAAAATGAATTTCTGAATGGAGGTCTCTTCTCTTTGAGATCGTATCTCATCCCACAATATTCCTATTACGTATATATGTGTTCTCCTAGAAGATTAGTGAAAAAAAACAACTGAAAAGATTCTAATCATCCTCTCTTGTTTCCTCAATTTTTCAGGGAACCGGGTGACAGTGACCGATTTATTTGCGCATTTTCTTCAAGTTTTTGGGAAGTTTTTCGTGTGACAATTTTAGACGGTTTTTAGATATAGACTTGAAGACTACGAAAAACTTTTTGAGTAGTTGATAGAGATTTACGGGTGGTCATAGTCAATTGTTACATTTTAGTAAAAACTGAAACTATATGGATTTTATGAAGTTAGAAGGTTCTGAGATTCTTTGATTTTATGATTCTAAGGTTCTGAGGTTCTGAAATTCTGAGATTTTGAAATTCTGAGATTCTGAGATTTTGAGATTCTGAGATTTTGAGATTCTAGGGTTTAAGGTTGCCGATTCTCAAATCTTCAGATTTTGAAATCCTCATATTCGGATTCTCAAAATCGCGATATCTTGGATTAATAGATTCTGAAATATTCCGGTTCTAGAATTCACAGATTCTTTATTTCGAGATTTCAAAAAAAAAAAAACATTGTATCTGGGATTTCTTACTTCTGAGATTCTAAGGTTCCTACAATCATATATTTCCGATACTCTGAGATTCTTAAAATTCTGACTTTCTTGCATTGAGAGATTCCGAGATTCTGAGATTCTGAGATTCTGATATCCTAAGGTTCTAAGATTCTGGGGTTCTGAAATTTTAAAATTTTGAGATTCTGAAGTTTCAAAATTCTGAAATTCTGAAATTCTCAATTTTTGAGATTCGGAAACTCTGATATTCGAATTGTCTAAAATTCTGAGATTCTGAGATTCTGAGATTTCAAAATTATGATTTCGAAATACTTCTAGAATTGAAAAGTTTTCAGAAAATTTTGGGATTCAGGAGTTTTAAGATTTTGGAATTTTACGATTCTCCGTCTTTGAGATTCTGAGATTTTGAGATTCTAAGATTTTGAAAATCTGAGAATCTGAAATTCCTAGATTCTGATTCTGAACCCCGGTTGTTCTAGAACACCCATCCTCATTCCGTGTTCCACCCAGCAAGTTTTTTAGAACAAAAGAATTCAGGTGGACCGAAAAAATCTAGAAAAGAAATTCAGGAAAAAAAGGTGCAACAAAAAGAAACGGAGTTATCTTTCTCTTTTCCTTCCTCACTTTTTACTTGCTGTCATATCTTCTTTCAACTTTTTTACCCCTGTTCTTCATACCTCTTCCTTTTTCCATGTTCCTGAGATTTGGAAAAACCCATAATCAACAGTTTCAAATTCCAGTTTTGGTACATAGAGCGCTGTGTGTGGTCTACCCTCTCCTTTTTTAGGCCACGCCCTCTTTTTCTTTCCGAATTTTCTTTTTTCCTTTTCTTTCTCCGACCGACTTCTTTCCTCTTTAGTTCCAACGCTGACCGAGTTTTTCTTCCTTTTCGAAAAACTATGATTCTCAATTATTTCAACCTTTTCAACTAGTTTTTTCGATTAGCAAAGATCCGTAATTATGTAATCTATCTCAACTCAAAAAACGCGTGGTAAAGTGTCCTATGGCTCAAAACTTTTTGTAAAGCTGCGGCCTTTCGGCAAGAAAAAAAAAGATGAGCATCTGCTCATGGTGCTCTTTCTCGGACGTCCCCCAAGAGCAGTAGGGGGACGAGAATCCCGATTTTTTAAATCGGTTTTTTAGTGATCCGATGAATCGAGGAAATTTTCAACCACGGGTTTTTTCTGAGGAATGATGACGTTGATGAGGATAATAGAGTGGAGAGTAAGAGAGAGAGAGAGAGAGGGAGAGAGAGAGAGAGAGAGAGAGAGAGAGAGAGAGAGAGAGAGAGAGAGAGAGAGAGAGAATAGCTAGTAATTTTGAATAAAGAGTCACAAAAGATGATTCGAGCGATGCAAGTCACACAACTACCTCAACGAATTAGAAATACAGTATTTTTAAAATAGAAGCACACCCTTGATGTACACTTCGAGCTCAATTATCTCGGTTCCTTCACAAGATATCAAAAAATAGTGAACTGATAAGATGTTGGTGATATTATGATAAAAATTTTATCGCTTGATAACTTTTTGATATCCTGCATAGGTGCCAAAAAAAATTAGCTCAAAACTTGATAATGTCGGGCGCTTCAATGCCCGAATAGAACGCTATCATATACCGTAGAACCTGTAATAGAAAGGTCCCAAACTGTCAATATTGAGCTCAAATATCTCGGTTCCTTCATATGATATAAAAAATTGGTCATATGATAAAATGTTTGTGATATTAGAATAAACATTTTATCAGTTTACAACCTTTTCATATCTTTAAGAGGAAGCGAGATAAACTGGCCCAAAGTAAAAAGTTAGGGGGTCCTTCTTTTACAGGATTTACTGTACTCGTACTTTTCGCTGAAGTTCCCGTATTTCCGAAATATGGAATTTCTGAAACTTCAGATTCTTAAGATCTTAATACCTCATTCTGTATCAAATTTTTCGCTTTGAGGAGTTAAGAATTCATTAGTCTTGGAATATGTGAATAGTCATTGTACTCTTCAAAATCTTTATTTTAAATTACCATATTGGAGTTTTGACTTTTCAGAAACGTTTGAAAATCTCAGTATATCCCAATCTCAAACCATTAGAACTCACCCTTCATGATTTGGAGTTTCATGATTTGGAGATCTCAGAATCTGAAAATCTGAAAATTCTCACTTTTCAAAAAATCAAAAATGACCGGTTGCGGGGTTTTTCGCAACAAGAACCTTTGCTCGGTTTTTCCACTTTCCTCTAACATTTTTTGCAACTCTCTCCATTTCTTCCTGAGCTCTTTATACAGTCTGTATTTGTTTTTCGAACGTTCCGATATTTCTCTCCGAGTTCTTGGCTCTCTCTTTTCTCTCTGAGCTCAACATAGGCACAGTTTCGGGAATGGAGAGAGAGAGTGCTTGAAAAAACGACTGTTTTCTTTGTTTTCTCTACATGTCTGCGTCTGACTTCTCGCTGTTTTTTTGTTGAGTAGTTCTAGGATCATCATAAAAATGTTGCAAAAGTAATTTTTATACAGATTTGAGGTTTTCTTTCAAATTTACCACAGCTGTCAAAAATTCGTTTTTATTATCTTTTTGTAGAATAAATCGACGTTGAGGGTTCAAGTTTTGGATGGTCTGTTATATCAGAATTTGGATGGTCTGTTATATCAGAAATTAACAGAAAATTTCAGAAATTAATTAATTAACGCAAAAAAATTAACAGAAAATTTTTATTTAAATTAACAGAAAATTTCAGAAATTAATTAATTAACGCAAAAAACCTTTTGTGTATAGCTGAAATCTTGTTGGTACTAATCAGTTCCCAGAGGAAATTCCTACTCTTCCCGTAAAACCTGTGATAGAAGGGCCCTCACACTGTCAACTTTGAGCTCAATTTCTATGCAAGATATCAAAAAGTAGTCAATTAATAAAATGTTCATCATAATATCAGCATTATTTTATCAGTTGACCCCTTTTTGACATCTTCAACAGAAATCGAGATAAATTGACTCAAAGTTTCAAGTTAGGGACCCTTCTACAGGTTTTACGCTATTTCACGTTTCTTGAAATAGTTTTAAAAAACGTTCAATAAGTCCAGAGCTCTCATTTTAAGGCTTCAAATCCATTTCAATTGAGTCAAATTTTCATTTCAATTGAGTCAAATTTTGTTTTTATTGTATCTTTTTTTTTTCCTTTTGCACAGGCAGCACTTTCTAGACAAGCATTTTTAAAACAAATTTCAGAATCCATACACAGTTTTCAATTACCGTAGTCCTTTGAAAGTTACGAAACTGACAAAATTTGATTTATTTCATTTTTTCTTCAAACTTGAAAAAATCCAATTTTCTAATAACCCACAAAACCACCCTTCGGATCATAAATTTGCTTCTTTTTCATATATTTCAGAGAGAGAGAGTAAAAATGTGGGGGGAGGATTCGAAAAAACTGGACCCGTCTGGGTGTATTTTTTCCACGAAAAATGCAAAAACATCTGGTGATTTTTCTCGGTCCACCACCCCGTGTATATTATGCTCCACTATTCTCTCTGAAGAAGAAGAAGAAAAAGAAGAACACATAATATTGGAAAAAGAAAAGCGATTGAACGTTTCGGAGAGGCTATTAGTGATCCATAACTATACATGTATTGTCGTTTTTCTCCACAACCTTACCGTGTCATCATTTTTTCTTCAACTCCTTCTTCTTCTTCTTCCTCTTCTTCTTCTTCAAGCTCAACTTTTTCATCGAAACCGCAGAAAAGAGACATATGTTTTTCCGTTCCATTTGGTACCTTCATCTTCTCTCTTTTTTGCTTCTAATGTTGCGAAAAATCGCAGATGGGAGAGAAGGAGTAGGAGGGATGGGGTGAGTTGATTAATGAGAAATTTAGAGTAGTTGGGAGAGAAAAACAAAGAGCAACAATTCGTAAGTTTTTATTTTTGATAGTGTTGGTAGGTAGAAGAGATTAAGAGGAGCTAGTTGAATCTAGTTTGATCCAGCTTCTCGGATTCTCGAAACTTCAAATTCTTAAAAACTCAGGACTCTCTCGGGATGATATTTCAATCAACAATTTACCGGTATTTTAATCAACAATTTAACAGTTGACATCTTTTTTTATATCTTTAACAGGAACCGAAATAAATTGGCTCAAAGTTGAAAGTTTTAGGCGGCCGTTCTATTACAGGTTTCACGGTAAATCTCGAATCCTAACAACCACACTTCGAGAGCCAAATCTCGGAATCTGAATTGACCCATTTGTAGTTTTAGAATTTTGGAACTACATCGGCTTAAATATAGAAAAGAAAAATTTAAAACACTGAAATCTCAAAATCATACATTTATTGGAATTCTAGAACCTCAAAATTCGAACTTGACTCTTGAAAAAACGAAGAGGCTTCTATTCTGAAAAACTTTAGAAATCAAGAAACCTCATAAATTTTGAGTTATTTCTCTCTAAAAAGAGCCGTCTAACCTACAATTACATTTTTTCCAAAAATTTCGAAAAAGTTGTTTTTCTATTTCTAAGTGCTCATTATCATCTAGTACAACCTCTCGTATCACCCCCAGAAGATACACTAGCAGCACACGGGTTTTTTTGTCTTGACACCCAGAGGGTTAGTGGTACCTGAACACAAAAAGTCGTGATTTTTTATTTCCTTCGTGTCCTCCCATCCTCTCGTTCTTCGAACTCTTCATTTCTCATCTAACTCTCTTGAAATTTTTTTTCGCGGGTTTTTCTTTTGATCTTCCGAGTCATCACACTTTTTACAGTGGTCATTTCTTACGGAGATTGCAAAAAGAAGAAGGAGGATATGTGCTATAAAAATATCACATTGATATCCCTTCAGATGATAAGGATAGAGAAAAAAGTGGGAGGAGTTTTTGATAAGAGAGCAAAGGTTTTATATTGATGTCCAGGTAGATTATAGATTTTTATATTGGTAAAGAAGGGACTAGAGGGTTACAAAACTTTTTGGTATTTTACATACATAACTTGACTGTTTTCGACAAGAAGCACCGTATTGGATACTTGAATTTCGAATTTTTTGGCATTACTGACTTTTTTTTCAAAATTGTAGCCAATATCCATTTTTCTTTTTAAGGGCTTGGAAAAATAGTAGGGCCCCATGTAATAAAAGGGCCCTCTGGAGGTATGCTGGAGCAACAGAAGGGCCAGCCCTTCTAAATACAGGTTTTACGGTATCCTTCCTTTTGAACCTCCGTTCTTGTTCTTTTAAATTACTTACTTGGGGCTAAAAATGTCTGAAAATTCCAGAAGCACTAATTTTTCAATTATTTTGCCAAAATAGATCCACATAACCAAAAAATCAATTAGAAAAATGAATGAATCGAACAATCATTCTTTCTTATCGTTCAACAATTTCACTATGTTTCTTTCGCTCCTGTCTCGAGAAAAAGCGAAAATTTCGGGATGCATGGAATTGGATATAATGAATCTTACAGGTGATAAGGGTGATAGACACAAGTGGAGAGACTAATAACAGAAAAAACCGAATACCCCCATCGATACCCCACCAACTCCTTTTTCTCGTTTTTCGTCTCAAACCGCAGTTTTTATCCATGTCTCCATTCGCTTCTTCTTCTGTTTCTTCCGCACTGTTCCGCCCATTTTTTGTCTCTTCTTCTTCTTATCCGCGGATTCGTCTTTTTCCACCACTTTCTTTTTTGATACTTCTCCTGCGGTCTAACTAGGTCGACATTTTTCTCTCTTGATTAAAAAAATTGGTTTCGCTTTTTTTGTGTTCCTAAACAACAAAAAAATTCGGTTATCATTTAACAACCCACAGTCAACTTTTGTCTCTTTTTAATGATAATGATAATAACCCGATAATGAGTTGGGGAAGGGAGGAGAAGAGAAGGAAAAATGGGAGGGCAAGACCAGACTGAAAAATGGGAAGAGTAGTAGGTTTCCGCGGATGGTGATGGTGGTAAAAATGTCATGCGTTTGTTTGGAGGCTTTCGTTTTTTGTGCTCGATTTGGTTTTTTTGTAGGAGAGGGTAGGAAACGACTGTAAGCGTACTGTGTGGCCTGGTAAACATCAGGTAAAGCTGGGTTTGTAGAATCGAGAGTTCTGAGAACCTAATTTTTCAACACTTTGAGCAAAATCAATTCGTTTTATTGTTTTCAAAAGCCCTGGATTCATAAATAATATTTTCAATATCGTCTTACTGTATTCTGAGATCTTACTGGACTTTGAAATTCTATCATTTAGTCCTGCTCTGGGAAAACTATCTAGAATTGTTTCACAACACTTTTCTATTCTAAATTTCAATTAATTACTTCCATAAATCTCTACATATCTTCACAAATTCTCCGCATTTTCTTTTGGTATTAAGAAGTTTTTTATCAATTACTTATATTGTAAATTTCCAAATTTAGACTATATGCCTTACTAACAGAATTGTGCTACAGTTTTATGCTCCTGATAATAATCTACTTGAAAAAGTTACCACCTTGTTATTTTTCCAATTACCGAATTTCCTCTAAGAGAAGCCCATCCAAACCGTCAACTATAAGCTCAATTACTACGATTCATGTCAAAAATATCGAAATTTAGCCAAATGATAAATTATCTATCTTAATATTACAATAATTTTACCAGTTGTCCGATTCCTGATATCTTTCACAGGAATCGAGATAGTTGAAGTCAAAGTTGACGGTCTGGGTGGGCTTCTATTAGAAATACGACATATGTCGAACCGATCTTTGAAACTAACGAAATATTACGATTTTGAGAGCAACTGTCCTCCCTTTCCTAAACCAAAAAACGCAACAATTGTTTTGAGACAAATTAGTGTGCCCAATAAATAATTGACCCCCATTTTCTCCTTTTTCCATCATCATCACTAAACTTCTTCTTCGTCTCTTCATCTTCTTCTTCAGATTAACCGTTCTTCCTCTTTTACGTGTTCTTCTTCTTCTTCTTCTTTTCCACTGCCCACCTAACCCGATCTTCACTTTCACGACCACCCTCATCATCCTTCTATTGAAAAAAGCAGCGATACGGTTGCCAAATTTTTCTTCTTTTTCTTCCTTTTTTCTGCTTCTTCATCTCCAACTTTCAACTTTTCAGGTTCCAAACCACACCTTTTTCGCCAAGCGAAACCATAATATCTTCTGGAGTCCAACTCCACAATTTTTGCTCTTTTCTGAAAAGAGCCGCCTTCTACTGGAACCCTCAATAATCCCATTTGAACAAACTCTCGATCTGATCGAATTCATCTGCTACTCACATTTCCACGTGGAATTAGAACAACATCCTCATCACTTGGGTAATTGGGAACTGCTGACGTCTGGAGCACAGAAACAGTAAGTCTGGGTCTGGAAACATCTTTTTTTCTAGCCATATTTTCCATATCACCCAGCTTCTTCGTCTCCTCAATTTTCATTGAACACATTAACTTTTTTATGGGTCAGAGTAGTGTCTATGACTACTTTCTTATCAGTCATTCTTCTTTTTTGAGAAACTGACACAACTACTAGTACGGTAGCATCATCGTGTTTGGAGAAAGAATTCTCTCCCCTGTGCTCCAGTCGTAAAAAACTTGACATGGAGTTTTTACGATCACCTCTAACTAGTGATGGGGTGAGGAAAAAGGAATCGATGTTGATGAAATGATTCGGAAGAAAATAGTAAAGTTTTTAAAAAAAAGTATGGAAATTTTGGGCTCTAGGGTTCAGGGCTTTGAAATTTTGAGAATCTGAAGTTTCAAAGCTTTGAATGTTTAGATTTCAAAAAATTGAACTTTTGAGCTTCGACGAGTTTGAAGATCTAGAAACTTCGTCTGTACCTTTAGTACCCCTCAACTAATGCACCATCTTGAACCTTTCCAAACCCCAGCTGGGTGCACTTTTATGACAAATGAAAGAAAAAACCGCAAGACTCATTTGAGGTCTCGAAATTCTGAACATTAGCAGGTGGTGTGCACGTGTCCAAATAAGAAAAGGGAAAGTGAGCGAAAAAAGGACTCGAATCGAATCGAAATTTTAGTTCATATTCTCTTTTTTCTGTATCGAGATGGTTCTCAATGAAAGTTGTTTGAAAGAGGAAATTGTGAGTTTGAAGATCTGTAAGCCATTTTATCCGGATAGGCTTGTCCATCTGAAACTTTCGAAAACTTCTTGGTGACCATCCTGCTCTCCGTAAATGCTCCAGTCGATATGCGTGCACTTTGAGCTCAATTATCTCGGTTCCTGTGAGAGATATCAAAAATATATCAACTGGTACATTGTCTATCATGATGTTAGAAATATTTTGTCAGTTGACAAGTTTTTGATATATTTTACTGGAAACGAGATAAATGGCTTAAAGTTAAAAGTTAGGGACTCTTCTTTGCAGGTTTTACGGTAATTTGAAATTTCTCAAAACTCAACTTTTACGGTTTGGTTGAGCTTCTATTAGAAGCATTGCCTTTTTGGGTTGGGAATTTCATTTTTGAAATTCAGGAAAATTTCAAAAACTTCCACAAAAAGTCCCTATCCTTGTCTTTTTATTAATTACCATATCCTTACACTTTCCCTGGAGACAGGTGTCTTATGTTATGAAATCCGAGTGGGGGCCCACCCTACCAAAATTGCAACAACATAGAATAAATGTCAAAACATATCGACCACCTGCCTGGTTTATTTGTCTAGTTCTCGAACTTTGAATCCTGGGATTACGGTAGATCTGCCCACTTTTTTACCCCACCCACTTCATTAAATACACTTATTCTAAAAAATTATTCTCTAAAAACTTACATTCGACAATTGAAAATTAACTATGTACGGTTTCTACCCCAACTGGATGCACCCAGATTTTTGGAATCAGGTAGGACTGTAGATCCAGATATGATCGTAGCATCCATCTATCTAAAATCTAGAGCAACAAAAATAAGATTAAGTTCAACTCAAAAAAATCTATTTTTCAGATCCCCACCGAAGAAGAGAACCTGAACACTGCAAATAGCCATACAATGGATCAAACCAGTGTTCTCGACTCGGCATTCAATTCGCCGGTCGACTCAGGAATCGGTGGAACTGCTGGCTCTGGCGCCGGATCTACAACTCATTTTGGAGTGGGATCAAATCGTAAGTTGCTGGTGAATGGATAGTTTTTGAGTTTTCAATAAACTTCAGTACGCTCCTCAAGCCGTTCTACGGATGGAACCGACTCAACGGATGGAGCCAATTCGGACAATGTCACAGGATCCACAGGATCCACACCAGCTCATCACTCAATCACAAATCTCAACATGGCGCTCTCGGCTCAACACTCAGACTCGGCTAATGGTGCTTCGGTAGCTAACCCGTTTCCGCCTTTTAATCAAGGTGAGAAGAAATGGCTTTTTTGTTGAAAATCTTAATAAATGCCAGAATAGGATCCAGAAGACGGATATGGATCGCCCTAGTATTAGAAATCCGGGCTCTTTATGACAAAGGGGGCCATGAGAAAAGGGGGGGGCCCAAGTGAAAAAATGTGAACTAAGTTAAGATTTAGCAATATTTTCAATTTTTTCGGATGTTTCTATGAACATTTCGTACCGTACTTTGCCCTTGTTTCCACAAAAATTCAGCACTTTGAAACATTTCAGTTTAGGCCGGTTTTTTGCATGAAAAACACAATTTTTCCATTTTAACTATGTAATTCAAAGTTATTCAGCTAGTTTCAGATTTTTTCAGGCTTAGTAACAAAAAAATTAACAAAAAATGTGCGAAAAATGACATAAACTGAAAACAGTCACAAAACTTGAAAAAATCGGTAAATATCAACTCAGGCTTAATCTTTCTACTTGGGCCCCCCTTTTGACTTGGGCCCCTTTTCTCATGGCCCCCCTTGTCATAAAGAGCCGAAATCCGATATAGGTTAACTTAGAAGTTTGTAAAATTTTGAATATTAGAATCACACTGGCCTCCAGAATATTCGAGGAACTTCCATCCGGACTTCTTCTTTGACGGATTCGATTATGACCGTAATTTCCGAAATTTCAGCGTCCCATTCCTTTTTCCTCATGTAACTACCCACGATGTAAAGTTCCCCATCTTCCAGATGTCCCTGTTTCTTGTTATTCCGAAGATTTTCTTTCCAAAACTTAATCAAAAAAATTTCAGCTGATCTTCTGAACTTCCACCCAAACTCTCTGCTGCCACATCACATGTTCTCGCAATTCGGAAGATACCCACAGGTTAGTTTTGGGAGGGAAATTTTGAAAGAAATTATATAAAAATAGAAAAAAGCATTGGGTCAGGAAATTTAGAGAAATTTAGAATGCATGGGGGAGTTCACAAAAAACGGGTGAAGAGGAACAGTTGAGGAAAGGAGAGGTGTTTTTTTAAACGAAAATTTTGTACTTCTTTTGGATTCTTTTTGGAATAGCTAGTAATTTTGTGATTTGGAAGATTGCACGTTCAAGAGATTGTAAGATTCTGCAAAAACAGTGAAAAAATTCCGTAAATTCCGTTTTTTGTCGATCTGTTAAAATTTGAGTTTCTTCAGGCATTTTGGTCGTAGAAGCACAGCATTGAGTGTCTTCTTTTGATATCTCTTACAGAAATATACCTCAAAGTGTATGGTGGCCTTCTATTAGATTGTTTGGTATTCTATATATTTTTCTAGGAAATCTCGACACATGCCTTTTTCGGAAAGAAAAAACATTTCGAAAGTTTTTAGATATTGCTGTCACTGACTTGATACTTTTTAAACATCTATTGGGTAGAGATGCTCCAGCTAATGACCTTAAACCTTCATTTTTTGTTTAACGTTATTTCCTGACCAAGTTCAAAAAGATTAAAATATTCTTGATCAATCTCAAACACCGCTCACTCACCACCGCAAAACCTAAACTCCATCCTGCCAAAATCCGAATTTCTTTTTTTGGGACTTTTTTTGAGACTCATATGGTCTCGGTGTGCACTTTTCGATCGTTCGTCCACTATCTGCCGATATTTTTCCATCTCCTTTTGCAGAAACCGAACCGCCCGTGGAGCAAAATCGGTCGTTTTCTTTAGCCCTGTGTGCTCTTCTCTCTTGTCCGTCTGTTCAGTTTCCCCACCTCTATTTTTCTTTTCTTCTTCTTCTTCTCCATTTTTTCCGTTTTTTTTGCAAGAGCAAAATGGTATAGAAAGGAAACAAATAGAAACAGAGACTGTTGTTTTTTCTCGAGAGCCATCACCCCTGCGCGTCAGCAAGAAAAGAAACAAAAAGGGTACATAGATTAACTCGAATTTTTGTTTGGCAACATTTCTGAAATTTCAGTATATTAGTGAATGACCAGGATACCAGATATGGAGAGAACTAAAACTGTGCTCTCAATCCATTTCAAATTTTGTGGGGCAGCGCCCGACGTAGTGCAATTTTTTGTTGACCCAGTGAAAAAGGAACACGAAATGGTTTTGAGGAGAGGAAAAAAATAAGAGAGTGAGAAACGCAGATGTTTGTATGTGTGTGCTCCATTCCCGCTCCCGCCCCACGTTTTGGTTTCGAGTCGCCAGCTCTTTTTTTTCAACGACAGTCTAGGAATTTATTTGGATTAACTGGAATTAGAAACATTTTTTGAGGTTTTATTGGACTTTCAGCCGTTTTTTTCTAATTTTGGGACTCTTTATCCTGAGTCCTCCAGACTACTAATTATGAACTATTCAAAGTTTAGAAAGCTTTTTGTTAGGGACCTCAAAATCTGAAAACCTGAGAAGGTCAAACATGTAGAGTTACTCGAATTCTCGGATTCTCTTATTCTTGAGCTTCGGATATATACTCTTGGAGTCTAAAAATGTAGAGCCTCGAAGTTCTCTAATCAAAAACTTCCGAATTCCTGGATTATTCAATTCTTAAGTTAGTCTTTCGGGACTCGGTTTTTAGGACGTTTAATTCTAGAATTCCTAGATAATCTGATTTTTCACCAGAGGATTTCAAACACTCAAAATTCCAAGATCATTAAATCTAGATTCTGAAATTTTCTGGATCTTTATGCTTCAACTCGATGTTCTAACAGTTGCCGGAATTTCGATTACGATGGCCGAACTTTCTGTCCCCATTTTTTTTAAAATTTGAATATTTGGAAAGTTCAATCCATCACCCAGCACCATGTAACAGATCCATCCAGCACATTGTTCCTTCTCCACCATCATCATTATTTTCATTTTCCCAGCCACAAGTGACCAGGAGAGAACAATTGTGTTCCATCCGGCCAACAAATCTCATTTGTCACTTTCCTCTTCCAATAAAAAACAGTTGAGGGGCGGATTCCGGGCAGCGGGTCCTTTGTTTAGTCAAAAAGAGAAAGGGTTGTTGCACATTCACTAGGTCACTCACATTTCAATCACTTTCTCACTTTTTTTCGAAAACTTTCCGCTTTTTATCGTACAGTTTCCAAAGTGAGAGTGAGCTTTTGAAGATCTTATCACGAGGTTTTGTGTTTTGAAGATTTTGAAGAGTTTGAGATCAAGATACGGGTATTCTGAAATACTCATTTTCTGAAAACAAAATTAGCGGCCATTGTGATTTGATAATTTTGATAGTTGCGAAAGGAATTGTCTATCTATTTGTATTTATTCTCATTTTCCAGTGTTTGAAATATCCTATTATCTTACAACCTGTAATAGAGGACTTCCTCACTTTTACATTCAAGCCATTTTTTCCTGCCAAAAATATGAAAAAGTTGTCAACCGATAAATATATCATAACATCAGAAGTTCATTGTAAGTTACATTTTTTATATCTTGCATAGAAATTGAGATAATTGAGCTTGAACTTGACAGTGTGGGTGTCCTTCTACTTCCTATTATGGATTTTACGGTATCTAGGGAACTCTAGGAAAGCTTCCGAATATGAGTTTTTTCTCTATAGACGCCGTATCGGATCTGAATTTTTGTCAGGGAAACTGTAAACCAATAAAGAATTTATGAACAACGGTTATCCTTTAATAATTTTTCTTTATTTGAAGTTTTTGACAAGTTATGAGTTTCTTTCAGCTTTAGTCGATTTTCAGCTGAAGTCGATAAAATTAGAACAAATATGTTAATAATCCAAATCAAATGTTTTTAGGGAAGATGCTCAACAATTGTTGCTTCAAAACTTTTTTACAAGCTTTGCTCACCTTTCAGTCTTCAGCTTGTCTCGCGAATGTAGAGATTCTAAGATCAAAAGAGGTTAGCTCCCAAGGAAATCAGCTTTTCAAAAACTATCATGTCTAGGATTTCAGAAAACTTTAGTTCTAAAAAATTTTTTCGGTTTCCTGACTTTCACAAAATTTATTTCGATTCCTGTATGAGGTATAAAAAATGTTCAATTGACAATATATTTTTTAAATATTTTAATGCATGTTTTGTCAGTTTTCCAATTTTTTATATCTTCTACATGAAACTCAAAAAATTGGCTCAAAGATGATAGTTGGATTGCTCTTCTATCCACTATTTTTACCGAAATTTGAATTTTAAGTACGAACTTGATTCCACCGGTAGCTGTTTTTGCTCAGAGTTTTGTGCCACAGTGTCTCAAAGAAACTGTCTGAATAAAAGTTCACCCCCCCCCCCCCCCAAAATAAACTTAACGCTCTCTCATCGTGTACCTATTCCACACTTTACTCATTCCGCAGACATTTTTTGCGCTTCTCTGCAGACGACGTGAAAAAAAAATAATAAAAGAAGAAATAAGAAACACGCACTTTTCGCTCCTTTTTAGGTCATTCAGCAATTTGGCTGCGCCTCCTTTTCCTCCCCAAAAGCAGCTATTTTTTCATCACTGACTAGATGTATTTGGGCGACCTTGAACGGCGAACGAGCGTTTCGAAAAACGTAGAGGGAACATGTAGACGGCGTTGACGACGACACAGGAAAACTGAGAGAAAGTGCAGGGAGGGATGGGGATGGACAGAAGTTTTTTTAGAATGGAGAAATCTGTTCGACGGAACGAAGAACACGGATCAGACATGAGAAAAAAGTGGGGAAGAATGACCTAATTTGAGGACAAAAAAACGAGCGAGGGCATAAAAACTTGAGGAAAAAAGTGAAGATGTCCTGGGGGTGATGACCCACAACGATTTGAAAAAAAACTACTGACTGTTCGGTCAGTCGAGAAGAATAGACGGCCTGCTGTGTGGTGTGAAAGAAACATCCACAAAAAATCTAGGATGGTGAAAAAACCAGGTAAGAAGTTTAAAGTTATAGCAATGTTAGCTATGATAAGTTATGGAATATCAGCGATTAGTATTCTAGATACTGAAGAGACGAGTTACTAAAATGGTCTATTAGTAAGATTACTGTAGATCATGACTAATTAAAACGTCACTTTTTTGTTAGTAACCTATATACTTAACCTTTGAGCTTAATTATCTTTTCTCCTATAAGCTATATCAGAAATCTGTGAGCTGAAAAAAATAAAACATTGATATTATGAAACGTTTTATCAGTTGACGAATCGTTTATATCTTCCTTATATATAAAACGCTAGAGGCGTCTGTCCGTCCTCGTGCCAGTCTGTCAACTTTTGAAAAACTTGAAAATTAAATATAAATTTACGTGACCCTTTAAGAATAATTGAGTAGCGGAGCCACGAACCAGTGAAAAACTAAATTGAATCGCGCCGAAGTCGCACCAGCTTGCTGGTCTTGTAAAAAAACCGAGATAAATTTTGCTCGCAATACAAGTAAAATAGTGGCGTTCCATTAGAGAGAATATGGTAGTTCTGATCAACACTGTAGCAGATCTACCGGATATCTAGAATTTGATGTACTGTAATCTTAGTATTATTGCTCAGCCTCTGACTAAACTCTTTCTAGAGTACCGTCCAAGAAGGCCATCCAACCCGTCAAAATGTAACACTCCAAGAAGGCCATCCAACCCGTCAAAATGTTTTTGAATTGTGACAAGATTTTTGTTAGTTGACTACTTTTTGATACCTTTTACAGTAACCGAGATAAATTGACTCAAAATTCACATGTTGGGTTGCCGTCTATCAGAGTGTTTACCGTATATCCCAGGAACACTGTTTGGGTTATTGTACCAATTTCACATTTATCAAAATTAGGGTTTCCATTTGGGCGGGTGGAAAAAAGAGCCACCCGACCAAAAAACAGCGAAAAAGATAGTATTTTCTTCGCGTAAATAATCGCGGGGGCCCCCGGGCGGGTGCGGGTGGGTGAATCGCTCCCCAAATGAAAACCCTAATCAAAATTACGAAATTTGAATTTCTAATTATTATTTCGAACTTCGGTAGATTCTGACGTACTGTAACTGTAGATTCTGAAAATTAGGTGAAGTTTTGGATTTGAAAAGGATCACCAATTTGAATTTCCCTCTTTCTAGACCATGAGCTATAATGAAAACATGCTGACATAAACACTCACATTCTCCAAGCTTAACATATCTTTGTCAATATTTTCCATCCTAAAGATCATGTGGTTTTCAACTTTTCAAGTGGCTTCTGCTTTATTAAGGTCGTTATTAGGAACATTTAGAGTAGCAAAACGGTTTAGACCAGCGTATGAATCTACAAATTCTCAGTTTTCTACCAGCGACTTTTATTATATCAAACCAGTTCTTTAACCATTTGAACCTTCTCTAAAAAACCGAGTAAAAAATTTTTCTTGCATCGACGACCCCAAGAGAATCTCGAATGCCTCATAACCTGACGTTTTTTCGGTTTTTAACGACGACCGGGTATTAGAGGAAAGAAAAACCTGAAAAAAATACGCTTCAGAAAACCGTATTCCTCGCTACTACTATTTCTGTTGTTTTTTAGTATCTTTCTGATAAGATCCAATGGAAAATTCTGAAAATCAGAATTTTATTCATGAGCTTTTGGGACGTTCTGTAACAGATATGAAGCAAGACATGGTGAGTGTCACTGTAACTAGGCTTACTGTAGAAATCGAATTTTCCACATCATCTGAAAAACGCATAAAGCCCAAAACCCATCATTCCAAGTTAGGGATTTCCAACCAGTTCCAATGTTCTTCTCCATTTTCTTCATCTCAAATGTTTCCATTTTTCTCCACAGTAATCCTGAAAATGTCTCTCTCTCTCTCTCTCCTTGAAAATGTGTTCCACTCCTTTTCCAATTCCGTCGAAGCCTAGCCCAGCCAAACCGGTGTGTGCAATAGACCGGAGGATAGAACAGAAAAACGGGCGGCCCGTCCAGGAGGATTACTGTAGAAACAGGCTGGCCGATTGGTCAAGAGTATTTGAGGAAACACAGAGAAAGACACTTTTTTTGGCTTTTTCTTACCTAGAGATGCCTCCCTTTGAGATTACGTTTTTCTTTTTACAACCCCAGGGTTTTTTGGGAGTGACACTTTTTTATAGAACCTTTTTAGAAAGATGGGATTATTCTTATTCATGAGGTTTTTTTGGAATTTTTGGATTCTGGACATGAGCTTTCTTCTATTAAAATGGCAACACATAATGAGATAATCAGGAAAATGAAATTTCAAATCTTCTCTTTTGAATTCGCATTTTGGCAACTTCGTTTTTTTTCACTCTATGAAATTAAAGATACATTTTCAATAACGTATTCGACCTTTTATCGGAGTTTTCTAGAATACATGTTCGTTTTTTCTAAAATTCTTCCAAAGTTTCAACCAATCTTAAACTGTTTTAAAGTCTTCCTGTTTTTTATTACAGCTAATTGTTTTTCAAAAAAAAAACAATTATTGAGCAATTTCTAATTACCACTTTTGTAAGTCCTGATGAATCAATAAATCTCCGTTGCCTAATTACCCATCATTTTTATGGGTGGTTTGCTTTCTTATCAAATTATCTACCCTCTCCTATTTATTATTTCATCAGATCTTGTATTGCAAACGCACTCCATTGAGAACTAAAATCCTATAAAATTATCAATGGAGCAAACTTGCAACATTTGTCCGAATGGTCATCAAAACATCAACAATCAATGAAACTAAAACACAGTATTTATATTGAAAAGCTTCTTCTTCTCCCCGCCTAAAAAAGTGCACACAAACTCTTTTTTCTGTGATGAAGAGTGCGAGATGACACCCCAAAAAGTCAACAACCGTTCCACTTTTTGTGACTCTTTTCCTCCTCCTATTCTTCGTTTTTCTCTATTGAAAAAAGGAAGAAACGTTCGTTTTTTTCCGAGAAAAAAGATATTTTGTTTCAGGCGGTCTGAAATTTCCAGCGTTTTTTTGTTTATACGGTCCGTTCTGACAAGGATAGGATCTGAAACTTTTTCGGAGGCTGGACTTTTTTTCCAACTTTTGAGCGGTTCCCATAAATTTCATTTTTTATCACATAACGTTTTCAATATTCCTCTAAAAATAATTTGTCGGTGAATATTACAATTTACCGTATTCTTTCTGATTGTGAGAGACTCTATGCGTACAATTTGAGCTCAACTATCTCAATTTCTATGAGAGATATCGAAAATGTGTCAATTGGTAAGATGTTGGTGACATTATGATAAACATTTATCAGTTGACAGGTTTTTATATATTTTGAACAAACCGAGATATTTTACATTTAGAGCAAATACGGCGCTGTTTGAATTTTTTTCAAAATTCGGCATCTTCGGAATAGAACACCAAAATTTCGAGCCATTCCCAAAACTTTGGCTTCGAAAAGAAATAACATCTTTCATTTTCCTTTTATCGACCGAATCTTTATGAGCTCTAGGTCAATCCTACCGTAACCCCCGTTCATTTTCTCTCAATTCCATCTCAAATCTACCGTTTTTGATCTAATGTTTTTTTCCTAAAATTTCTTGAGGAGTTTCAAAGTGTCTTCCTCTTCTTCTCACTGGTCTCCACACCTGAGACCACCTAACTTTTTTCTAAGCATGTCCATTTCCATTTCCATTTTTCCCTCGCCATCATCTTTTCTACTTTTACACGAAGAAACAAAACTACAGTAATCCTCCCGAGACACACGCTCTTCTTCTCTTTCCAACTACTAACTAATGTATGTCCTCTAGAAAAGAAAAAGACACTGAGAGTTCGCCTTGAAATGTTCGATTCTCATTCCAATCGGGGAAGAAGAGTCTCTACCGTTTTTTTGTGTAATTCGATCGGTATCTCCTGCTTTTTTTATCTGTGGATACGTCGGTCTCTATGAATAAGAAAGAGTTTTGCAATAAGCTCCGCCCATCTTTTTTATTGAGAGGGCACTTTTGAAAAAAAAGTTAGATCATTGAGGTTACAAACGGGAAATTTTTTGTTGGACAGTTTTTTTTGTTGTTTTTGTCCCAGAGAACGTAAGTTTTTTATACAACCGATATGTTAATTGGAATGTTTTTTTAAGATTCTAAAATTTTGGAATTCTAGGCTTTGAAGTTTTGAGATTCAGGACCAGAAAGTTCTAAGAAATTCCGGATCAAAAATTTTCGCAACTTTTGAAAATTGCAAACCCTCAACAAAAAAATGAACAGTCTCTCGCACTGGGACGCACCGAGTGAAACCGAATAAAACTAACAGAGACTCCGAACTCCGGGCAGTCTCTTTCTGTCTCAGCGTCTCTTCGCCTCATACACTCTCTCTCTCTCTCTCCAATTTTCTAGGATTGCAAAAAAATGGCTGTTTGTATATGGAAATATCGATCTATTGCGAGGGCTGAGAATAACAGTATTTTAAGTTGGAGCTGGTTAGAGAAACAGAGTTTGCACTGTGATGCACTTTCATAAAGAAATCAGAGAAAAAAACGGATGGGTGTTGCTTTGGCTCGAACAAAAACAGTCTGATATTTTATAGACTATGTTTCTTTTGTTTTCTGAAAAATTGCTATGGAGCTAGACAATCTGTTTTTTTTCTTTTCTTTTGCGAATGCGATTTTAACTTGGCAGATAAAAAATGCCAAAATTTTGCTTTAAAAATTAGGAAAATTGAAGAACCTTATATTAATAGTTGTCAGTTTTCGTAAGGTTTCAAAATAAAGTAAACACTCTAATAGAACGCTCACTCTCTGTAACTTTCAACTTGGAGCCCGTTTATCTCGGTTCCTGTGAGAGATATCAAATATTAATCAACTAACAAAATATTTTTAATATTATGATAAACATTTTGTTAGTTGACTTTCACTTTTCGATATGTTTTATAGGAACCGAGATAAATTGGCTAACAGAAGCTCATCATATACCTGAACTTTTAGTCCAATTATCTCGGTCCCTATGCAAGATATCAGAAATTTGTCAACTAATAAAATGTTTATCATGTTATCACAAAATTTTGATTAGTTCACAAAATTTTGATATATCTTATAGGAACCGAGATAATTCAGCTTAAAGTGCGCAGGGTGGCCTATTGTGGAAGTATGGTTTTTTGTAAATTTCCTGTCTTTTCTATATTCCTAATGTAAACCCTTTGTCCCATTCCTGCAAATTTTTGATCCCAACTACATCCTAGTCCAAATTCTCGAAATTTGAAAAAAGATACTGTATGCTCGGTCCTCGGCCGCAAGTCACACACATACTCTCGTTTGAAATTGAGACGTCCGTCCGTTTTTACGAATGTCTCGACAGGACACAACACATGTTGCGAATTGTTGTTTGGCCAAAAGTCGTCGGGAGAAAAAGGACAATAAATACGGTGGCGGGAAAAAATGTTTCGAGTTGGTCAGAAATGGATATCCGAATCATATTTTCGGAGTTCGAAATTTTCCTAATTGTTTTTTTTTTTTTTGAATTTTCGAAATTGTATTTGAGAGCCGGTCCAAGACCAAAAGTTTCAAGTGCTTTTCTTTGCTTTTGTCAGATTTGTCATTAGTTTTTCAAGCTTCGTTATTTTCCTCTCTAGATAATTTTGAAACACGAATTTTGATAAATTTGAAATTACAGTAAAACCTCTAATAGTCTACTTTTGAACTTGAGCCGATTTTTCTCGGTTCCTGTTAAAATATAGAAAATTTGTCAACTGATAAATGGTTAAGCATAATATCACCAGTAGTTAATTAGTTAACACATTTCTTATATCTTGCATAGGAATTGAGAGAATTGTGCTCAAAGTTGGAAGTTAGGAGCCTTTCTATTACAGGTTTACCGGTATTTGCAATTTTGAAATCTTCTGATCAAAATTTTCAATTTCAGTCTGAAAACTTACCTGCTTAAGAATCCTAATGTTCCGAACCATCTATAAAAACTAAAAATATCCGTACTTCTGGATTAAAATGCTTATAAATTATTGACATAAAAAATGGTAGCTGATAGCAATTTATCATTGATAAATCGAAAAACATGAGATTATTATTATTATATTGCAAAGATCTTCTAATTGTAAGAATCTTCCTTGATTCCCAATAAAATTAGTTAACTCTTTGAAATTAATTGGAAAAATAAAATTATAGCCTAGCAAAATATAATATTTCCTCCGGCATAATTTGTCCTTCCCATGATATACAGTATCCCGATGAAACTTTCTTCCTCCTCTAAATCCTCTCTCAACAGAATAAACCGAAATAACTCGAAAAAGTAAAACAGTAATTCATCCACAAGTCCCATCCTCTAGTTTTCCCATATTTCTTCAATAAATCACACTTTCCCTCGGAGACAAAAAAAATGAAAGAAGAAAAAACCGAAAAATAAATCAAAACCGTTTTTCATGTCTAATCGACTCTTCTCCACTCCTCTTAAAGGCCACCGAAAACTTTTTCTTTGGATCATCGGAGATCCGCGTGGATTCTAAATTTCCCCTCTCCAGCTGAATCCATGCCCTTTTTTGTCGAGGATCCAGATGATTAAAAAGGGAGAAAAGAAAGTGTTCCTTGTTATAAGTACACCCATTTCTTCCCAATATATTTGCTTTTTTGAGCACACACAATGGGAGAGCTCTTTCTGTCTCTTTTTCTCTCTTAGTGTCTCTCTACAGAAATTCGATCTTAAATCTCTCTCGTCTCTTAAATACCTTCGCTCTCCCCCTCGTTTTTCTGTTCCGATCAAAACATGCCGAGTGAATTTTGATCGAGTTGAACTGAAATCTAAACCTAAACTTCGATCAACACTTGTAAAATGTTCAAAAAGGTCCTAGATCTCTCCAGATTTTCCTAAACTATAATTCTAAAAACATTTTTTTGCAGTTCGAACAAAAGCCGGACGTGGGGGTGCTTCAGCAACAGATGCAGATGCGAGAAGCGAAACCCTACAAGTGCACGCAGTGCGTTAAGGTGAGTCGAAATCAAGACAATTGAAAGTTTCGGATTTTTAGGTTCTAAGATTAAGATTTTAAAATTCTGAGATTCTGAAATTCTGAGATTCTGAGATTCTGAGATTCTGAGATTCTGAGATTCTGAGATTCTGAAATTCTGAGATTCTGAGATTCTGAGATTCTGAGATTCTGAGATTCTGAGATTCTGAGATTCTGAGATTCTGAGATTCTGAAATTCTGAGATTCTGAGATTCTGAGATTCTGAGATTATGAGATTCTGAGATTCTGAGATTCTGAGATTCTGAGACTCTGAGATTCTGAGATTCTGAGATTCTGAGATTCTGAGATTCTGAGATTTTGAGATTCTGAGATTCTGAGATTCTGAGATTCTGAGATTCTAAAATTTAAAAAAGCTGCGATTCTGAGATCGTACAATTTTAAAGTTCTGGGATTCAGATTTTGAAATTCTAACTATAAGATTCTGAGATTCTGAGATTCTGAGATTCTGAGATTCTGAGATTCTGAGATTCTGAGATTCTGAGATTCTGAGATTCTGAGATTCTGAGATTCTGAGATTCTAAAATTTTAAAAAGCTGCGATTCTGAGATCGTACAATTTTAAAGTTCTGGGGTTCAGATTTTGAAATTCTAACTATAAGATTCTGATATTCTGAGATTCTGAAATTCTGAGATTCTGAGATTCTGAGATTCTGAGATTCTGAGATTCTGAGATTCTGAGATTCTGAGATTCTAAAATTTTAAAAAGCTGCGATTCTGAGATCGTACAATTTTAAAGTTCTGGGATTCAGATTTTGAAATTCTAACTATAAGATTCTGATATTCTGAGATTCTGAAATTCTGAGATTCTGAGATTCTGAGATTCTGAGATTCTGAGATTCTGAGATTCTGAGATTTTGAGATTCTAACAATCTGTGATTCAAAGATTCTGGGATTTGAAGATTCTGAGATTCTGAAATTCCTAGGATTCTGAGAATCCAAAAAATCCAAAAGCCCCTGATAATCTGAGAAAATAAAATTCAAAGATTTCTAAGACTGCAAAGCCTGAAACGTTACAGGCTTTCGCAAACTCGTCCTACCTCTCCCAACACATGCGAATCCATTTGGGAATCAAACCGTTTGGGCCATGCAATTATTGTGGAAAGAAGTTCACACAGCTCTCACATCTTCAACAACACATTCGGACGCACACGGGAGAGAAACCGTATAAAGTGAGTTTCTTTTTTAATTCTGAACTTTTCCTATTTCAAATTTGGACATCATCCGTCATGACTTTTTTAACTCCTTGTCATTTTTCAGTGCAAGTTCACAGGATGCGACAAGGCATTTTCTCAGCTGAGCAATCTTCAATCTCACTCCCGATGTCATCAATCTGACAAACCATTCAAATGCAACAGTTGTTATAAATGCTTTACCGACGAACAAAGTCTCTTGGATCACATTCCGAAACACAAGGAATCCAAGCATCTAAAGGTAAGTCAACTCGTGTGTCCGTCCAAAATGTCTCAATCTAATCATGTATTAAGCGTCTTAAGATTCACATTTGCCCATTCTGCGGAAAATCCTACACCCAGCAGACATATCTACAGAAGCACATGACAAAACACGCAGATAGGTCCAAGGCCAATAATTTTGGGTTTGTTCAAAAATCAGTTGATTATCAGTTTTTGAATTTTTTTTTCAGAAACGAAGTTGTGCCAGCTGATCCATTTGATCCATCGCTTCTGGCATGGAACCCGATGCAAGGAATGGGAGACGCTGCTCACGATGCTTCGAGCTTCAATATTAGTGAGTACCACGTGACTTGTTCAACAGTGCTAATCTGGTAATAGGTTCTCTTACAGACCAGTTTGCTGCCAATACGATGATCGGATCGCAGGGAGCACCATACAATCCAGCATTCCAGAACAGTGCATTCAGTCAGTTATTCAATATTCGGAACAATCGATACTTGTCAGAATATCCAACGAGCACGAAGAATGGAGAGAGGGCTCCAGGGTATTGAACTTCTCTCCTGATTTTCTTTTAACAACTTAATTTTTCAGATTCAATATGATCACTCCACTGGAGAATATTCAACGCTACAACGGCAACTCGTCCACCTCCTCCGCGACAGCCGTCGTCACCGCCACTGGATCAGCCGTTGTCTCATCGACGCCTTCATCCACGTCATCATCGTCAGCCGCCTCATCTTCAAGTCAAGGAGGTGTATTCAATCCGCAATCATTAATAAACAACATGAAAAATCATTCCTATTAAACTAACTTGTATTCTTTTATTCTTCTTTTTTTTCCTTTTCCTAACTTTGTATCCCTTGAAAACAAATTATTCATTTTTGGGGCCAAGCCCAACCGGTTCCAACCGGAATAAGATCCTCCAATTTTCATTTTTCATCCGTTTTCTATGTCTCCCTCAATTGTTCTCTCTTTCTCTTTCTCTAGTACAATTCTTCATTCGGCAACTATATTTCAGTGAGTTCTCAAGAGCTTCTGAAACTTTTGTGCTCTATGTGCATTCTTTGTCCTTGTTTTCTATTATAGAATTTATTGATTTGGCTTTATTCTAGCACCGAATTTTCCAAGTTTTTCCCCACACACAAGATACATTGCCAGCGCCTTTCTTTTTCGATTTATATATTTTTAAAATTTCCTCTCCAAAATGACCGCTAAGCGGTTTTGTTTTCCCCTCACACTCCGGTGATCCTTTCTTTTTCAACTATTGTTTCCACCTAATTTCCTGCCTCTCTTTTTTCTTATGTAAGCGTTTCAAACGCCACTCGATTTCCACCACCCGGTTTTTCGATCCCTTCCAACCAGCATTTTCAGCATTTTTCCAGAATGTCATTCTTCGGTGAATCTATTGAAATCAGCGCCCCTTAAACTCGCCAATGCAATCGTTCCCCCTTTAGATCCAAATCCAATTTCTTGTTGAAATCTCACCGGAGTCTTTGTCTATTAAATACCATTTTCTGTTCTTTTTTCCTTCTGAAAATCTCCAAACCCGTCGTTTCTCTCTCGCTGTGTTCTTCTTCCACTCTTACAACTCGGTTTTCATGTTTTTTCCCGATTTCCCTAAAAATTCCGAGTTGTCTGAAACGTTCTCATGCCTATTTATGAACTGTATTGTATTAATGATTGATTGCGTTGAAAACATGAATGATTTTGTATAATGAGTTCTTATTTTTCAAATTTTCAGAATGTTTTTCGGCTATATTTACTAAAAATATTATTTAGGAACAAAAATGTTCTTTCTGTAATTGCTTTCCACTACAGGAAATGCATTCCTTTTGTGCTTTCAGATTATCAGGTCACCATTCTACCTATGAAGATTTTTCGGAATTTGTAGTTTTTTTTTGTTCTGGCCGAAATATTTCTGTCAATTATCGCTAGTTTTTAGCCGTTTTTGTGCTGGGAAAATGGAATTTCTTCTTTCAAATTTTAATTTTGAAAAATTCTGTATACAGAATTATTTTCAGGAGAGAAAAATGCCAAAAGAACAAGTAGCATTGTATGTGAGATTGACCAGACCACCAGCGCTCATTCCAGCCAACGAAACTGGAGCAGAGCGAAAAAAGCGAGTCTGGAAACAGAGGAAACTCACAAGAGGCCATTAAATAGAACCATGAGAGGAATGGCTCGGCTGAATTACAATATCAACGACGACAACTACAACCCCAATGAGGGTCAAAACCACAGCTACGAAGATTTCATTGCTGAGACCAACCGTACTTTTCTTGCAAGGTCCCGGGCCTATCAGAAGGTAAAGGCGAAACTTTCCGGTAACTCCCCTCCAAAATCGGTTTCCAACCAGATTCGGGAAAATTGCGGAGCAGAAATGGCTAGATCTGGTTAGAAAATTGTCCGAATCAGGTTGGGAAATTAGCTTTCTCGGTCGGATCTGGTCAGAAAATCACCGGATATGGTCGGAAAATAAAAACTTTCCGAACCTGGTTGGAATTTTACTCGAATCTGGTTGGAAAATGCGCGTTCCCGAATCTGGTTGGAAAATTACCCGAAACTGGTTAGAAACCGATTACCAGAGAGAATGAGGGTGTCCCGTTCGAACCCGGCGATTCCGTTCTCGCAAGAAGCTTTGTTACTGGATTCGTCCATGACCTGGATCAGTTCCCATCAGATGATAGTAAGTATTTTCTTTTTTTGTGTCAAACCTAAAAATGAAATATCTCTGATGAAAAACTGCGGGCTCACTTCAGTCTGCCAAGAAAAAGGCACTAAAGGTTTGCATGTAGAATGCCTTGTCTATTACATTTTTCCAGATGAAGCCCTTTCTGTACAGCCGATGCGATCAGTTAGTTTTCCTTCTGGTCCTCGTCGTTCAATCATCCCACAAAACCCAATGAAACTTCTTGTGGAGTATGTTTCCAGTCGTGGAAGTGTGGAATTCGAGTCGCTTCCATCTGAAGATCAGAATCTAGTGAATTTCAATAGCAACATCTTCAAAGTAATCTCAACGAAGCCTGGCGAAATGTTTGTCAATCTTTTTGACCGAACTCTGGACGCATCGGCTCTCAAAGATGGAAACTGCCTTCGTTATCCTGTGGAAGCCGATCTTTGTTGGATGTCGGAGTTTACCGATTCCGTTAAACAGTGACCAACACATTGTTATACAGTGACCAACACAGTGTTGATGTTCACATCTCTAACCTTTTCGAGTTACCGGAAAAGGCCAGTTTTCGTCGATACCTCCGAATGTCATTTTTGCAACATTGTGGTCGGTAGCTGTTTTTACTTTGGATGAGCTGGAAATCGTTTTCAAAAACTTCGATGAAGAGGAATGAAAAGCATTCGTGGTTGGATTCAGTCCTAAAGATAACTCGGTGAGAAGCCCATTCTTCCTATTGCATAGTTTGTGTGTGTATCAATATGCTTTCAGAAATCGTTGAGCATCGATATGATTTTAAAGTATGAAGAAGACAATGAGCTATACTGGTTTTCCCAAATTGCGAAAAACCGTGGGGCAGTTGTTTCGTCGGATTCCACTTCTTCTCACTTGACGAAGTCACCGCGAGAAACTATCCATCGTTTCGGTTCAGGATTTTACATGGTATTTTGCACATTCAAACCGGAAAATGTTTCTGCTACTTCTAATCAAGTTGAACGTAAGTGCACACAATCTAGATTTTGAGTAAGTACTGTTCCAAAATCGAATGGATTCCATCTCTAGAAGTTTTTCTCCGCTACACCGCATCAACTCCTTCTTGGCACTTCTTCTCTTTTATTTAAAATTTCATTTAATGATCACATGCCAATAAAGTTCGTTTCATAATTATTCGAATTCTCTCATAATTAGTTTTAAATATTGATGTTTGAAGCATGAATATTTTTAGTAATGTCATTTCAGACAAATTTCTCGTCCACACCGAAACTTTGAATACTATTTATTACTACTGCTGTTTCTTTCCGACTCTTATTTTATCGAGACCACAGAAAAACAGTTTACGGAAGCGGTCGAAAAACGAAAAGAAAACGATCGGCAGAGTTTCCTACAAAATTCTTGAGTCAGATTGAACTATTGACTATTTATATGACTATTGACTATTTATATACAAACGGTCATCAGTTTCCGTTCTTCAATCGCTGCACTTTTCGGTTGTTGTGTAGTCTCTTTTTTATGGGAACATTCAAGCCTAATCTAACGATTCAAAGTGTTTACTTTCCAAATATGTTGGGTTTCTATATTTCTTTTAACATCCATCAGGAAATCGAAATTGTATTTAATCTAAAAAATCAAATAATTTAAACAATTGAGACCCCGCAAATTCCGGGGGAAAAAATCGGGGGAAAAAACCGGGGAAAGTGGGCGG